TAAGAGCACAAACTGTTCTTCCAGAGGTCCTGAGTTCAGTTCCAAGCAACCACATGGTGGCTCACAGCCATCTGTAATGAGATCTGATGCCCTCTGCTGACACACAGGCAGAAGACTGTATACATAATAAAATATTAAAAAAAACCAGGATGTCCATACTCAGTGGGTTTTAGTTAAAATGATGTCGGGAGGCAGTGAGGGTCAGAGCCTGAGTCTGGTACAGTTGAGAAGAGTAGACAGGGCCAAGGGCACCCGTTTTCCATTACGTGTGTTTTATGTTTTGTAGCCTGGGAACTCTGAAGTATTTCTGAGCAGCTATGAGAAAGGCGTGTGCGTTTGTTCTGCGCTGGCGAGTGTGAAGTCCAGTGCTTGGTGAGGTGGGTTGTGACGGGGCAGTGTGGTCAGATGCAGGCTGTGGGCAGTCTGACCCGTGTGAGGAGGCAGCCAGGGCAGACCATCTCTGGCATCCTGCCGGTCTAGAACCCAAGCAACTGAACGACTAGAAGCAGGGCTCAGTGGCTCAGCAGGCCGGTAAGGAAATTCTTCTTCTTGGCTGCTGGGCGCAGCACTGGTGTTTTAAGAACTCTCCAGCAAGCTGACTGACCCCCAGCTGTGAAGATGCCTCCATCCTGCTGGTGTCCAGCACCCCACGCTGTCCCTAGCAGCGGTTCCCACCTCTGCAGAACCTACCGAACACACCAGCAGGGGTTGCTGTGGGGTAGCTTCCCTCGACTCTACCACCTCTATTCCCCTTCCCTTCCTCCAGGCTGCCGACCCTGGCCTCCATCCAAAGCGGGAACCCACCTCCCCCTGCTGTCCCCATGCTCCCTCATCCCTTCCCGATTCCATTCTTCTCTGGTAACCAAGCACATCACGTGCTCTTCTGTGTTACTCGACGCCAGCCGCCCCTCCCTTGTCACCTGCTCCACTGTAACGGGGGCACCAGCACTGTGCCTGCCTGTGGCAGACTTGATTGATTAGTGCCTGAGCAACGACAGGTCAGTGTGTTATTCAGCCATCATGGAGGCCAGAGACACTTGGTTTGCTCCCAGGGAGACCAGCCAGGGTATTCCAAGGCCCCTGCAAGGCACCAGGATCTGTCTGAGGTAGAGGGAAGGATGAGGAGAGGAAAGACATTTTCCCTCAGTGCCCGAAAGCCCAGGAGAGCGGACGGCTTGGCTTCAGCCCTCTGTTTGGCAGGTTGGGGACTGTGGTGGTTGCGCCTCTGGAAGCGAAAGCAGTGTGTCCTCCCCAGAGGACAGGAGAAAGCCAGAGTCCTGCTGGCGCTGGGCAGCAGCCGGCGTCTGGAAGCACAAAGGCCATCTGTCCGCCGCTTTCTCTTTTTGGAGGCGGCCGGCTCACCCCACGGGAGTGGGGTGGCACTTCAGGACATGAAACTTGGAGCTGGTGGTGGATTTCTTGGAACCAGTGGCAGGAAGGTCTAAATTAGGACCTTTCTGCCACACCAAATAAACAGAAGCTGAAATAGACACTGAAGGAATTCGGCAGGAGGCCTTCATACGTAACGTTAACGGAGGAGCAAGACCTTAGGCAGCAGACAGCGTTTATTCACTAGGGCCTCCGGGTATTTGCCGAGAACAATGGCGCCTCTGTTTGACACAGAGACATGAGAAAGTGCACGTTCTCTTTTGGAAGCTCCGAGGGACATGGAAGAAGGCCATTTCCACTCTGCTTGGAAGGTTCTTGACTGTTCCCCTCTCGGGGACCAGCTGAGTTACCTGCAGTGGGGTCAACATTACATAGGAACTGTGAAGAGCCTGTCTCAAATAGGCCATCTCTATCCCTGGCTCAGGAACTGACGGGCCCAGTCCTTCCAGGACAGCAAGGGTGAGGCTCCTAGCCAGAGGGTGTCAGAAAGGAGCTTGTTCAGCAGAGAATCGCCTAAGCCGTGCTTGTGGACTTCACCCACCCTTTTAAATCCGAGAGGAGGAGGAACACCTACAGTTTCCTTCAAGCGGGCAAGGCCCTGTGGTTGCCTGGCTATTTCTCAAATCCACTGATGGTTTTGCACTCCCAATACGACACAGCTGAGCACAACTCATTATGTAGTAGCTCATTGAACAATCCAAAGACGTGGGGGCAATATATGATATTAAGTAACTGCTTTTGCTTTTAATATAGTATTCGAATGCTGGTTCACAGAACCTCTGACTTGTTGGTTGACCCTCACCCTCCCAAAGCCCTCATCCTGGTGTCCAGCAAGCTCTGGACAAGACACACCACCATCCTAGTGAGGTTATGATCTGTATCGGGAAGTGGGTGAACGCCCTGGGCACGTGCAGAGCAGCTGCCCCCACCCGCACCCCCTCCACTTTATGGCTTGTCTCTTCACTTTTTTGTGGGAACGTACTCAGAAGCTTAGCCCTGAGAAAGAGCCAATTTACCGCCTCTTACCCTCATGGTTTCCTTCTTCCTTGTTTTTCAAGACAGGTTTCTCTGTGTAGCCCTGGCTCTCCTAGAACTAGCTTTATAGGTCAAGCTGGCCTTGAACTCACATAGATCCTCCAGCCTCTGCCTCCTGAACGCAGGGATTAAAGGTGTGTGCCACCCATGCCCGGCTTCCTTATGGTTTTCTAATAACCTGTCGTCTTGTAGAAGCGACACTCATTTAGGACCAGTCCATCTGGAACCATCTGGTCTGTATGTAGTGTGCCAGGTTAAAGGAGTCCCATAAGGATATCCAACATTATTTTTAATGTAGTCAAAAATCTTTTCGTGGCTTGATACTAATCAGTCTACCTAGACTAATAGTCCGTTCATTGTGATGTTTTAGTCGACTAGAATTTCTGTACTCTTGCTAATTTTTTTCCTTTTTAAAGCAGGGGCTAAGACAGGATGAAGTGTTCTCACACTAAGCACTACCCAGGTCCTTCCAAGGCACCAGTGCAAATGCCTCCCTCAACCTGAACGAGTAAACAGGACCTGTTAACTCAATCACTCACAGACACTTAGGGGCAGATATAGGCGAAATTATCCTGTTACAGAAAAGATCAGATCACAAGTGTCCTGGGGTCAGGAACGCAAAGAGTTTTTCAACACGACTTTGAGACATTTGATGCAGTTCTGGTTCAGATGATGCTGGGAGGTGCTACCTGAGCTAATAATAAACTTCTACAGGACCAAGCCTGCCCAGTGTAACTCAAAGGCTTTTGACGACCTTAAGTGCCTCAGACGATAACTTGATCTGCTGTTTATTCACTGGGGAGACAGGGCTCACCTGCCATGTCTTGTAGTACACACTTCAGTAGTAGATACAATTTTGTACAGAATGTGCTGTGACATTGTCTTTCGTGCATACACCACACACTGATGATATTCTCAGGGGTTAATTCGTGTATTCTACCTGCTGGTGCCGCGCACAAGAGGCATTCAAGTCACTCTGCAGTGAAGGGCTCCATTTCCATTGGTCCCCGAGACTGGCAGTGCCTGTCCAGACACCAGGGGACCGCATGAAGGTGGGCGCGTAGGCCATGGGTTGCGATGGAGGAAACAAAAAGGCTGCAGTCACAACTGGCCACTGCTTCCTTTCTGCAGTGTCTGGCAGGAGCCGGTCTGGCCCTTGTCGTGAACAGCCGTCCTGCCACCGTGCGGCCTGGGCTTCTTCAGCCTCATGGGGGTCTGCCCTTGCCCTCCCTTGTGTGGCTGTGAATCGTCTCTGGAGAGGGCCATGACTGAGGAATGACTGAGCTAGTGTTGCTGGGCGAGCGGCGGTGCGAGAGCCCTCTTTCCACTTGCTCCCACCACAGTCTCTCATATCACCTTACAAACACAGCATCTTGTATTGCGGGGCATCGCTTGAGTTTGACATTGATTATCCATTCCTCGTAACACAGGCACTTCAGGGGGACAAATAATCCCACATTTTAAGGCACAGCTACTGCTTCAAGTTAGACACTACTTGAATTAAATGCTGTTTGAAAACACTTGAATGGGTAACGGTTGAAATGTGTTTGTTTCTCACTGTAGTCAACATGGAGATGGGGGGTGGGAGACAAGGAGACTGCTGAACTGGAGCCGTGTCCCACCATGGACTGCTGACACATTTGGCCTTCCACAAGGGGTGTATGTGTGTGTGTGTACGCGCATGTGGGTGTGTGCACACCTTGTCCATCCCCACCACATTTTAAGAACTGAGTGCTGGAATTCAGTCTGAGTTGGCAGCAGCTGCAGGGGACTGGGAGTCCTAAGTATCAGTACCCTGCCATTAACTCACGATTCCAAAATTGTGGCATGAAAACACTCCAAAGAATGTGTCTGACAACTTTGGTCTAAGTCAGGCACTTTTGGCATCCTTAGCCTGTCCAACATGAGCTTGAACACTTTTTAAAAAATTCAATTATTTATTATGTATACAGTGTTCTGCCTGCAGGACAGAAGAGGACATCAGATCTCATGGATGGTTGTGAGCTACCAGGTGGTTGCTGGGAATTGAACTCGGGACCTCTGGAAGAACAGCCAGCACTCTTAACCTCTGAGCCATCTCTCCAGCCCAAGCTTGAACACCTTTGAATAAATTTATTAATGAACTCTGCTTTAATAATCTGTTAGTGCCCAGCATGTCCAAAAGGCCCTTTAAAAAGCCACAGCTCCCCATCAGCCTCAGCAATCCGTGAACCCCTAAGTGTCCCAGAGAGAAAGCCCCAGATGCGCCGCCGTCTTCAGCACCTTTCCGAGTGTCCACATGGAAAAGCCCTCCAATGAGCCCAACAGTCAACTCTCTATTGTCTCCTGCATAAACGTTCTACTCACAGACTGGACAGCCGGGTTTGCCAAGCTGTATTTAGGCACAAAGGAAATGTTCTGATCTAGGCTCTAAAATAACCCAAGATTCTTGGTCAAGACTCCTCAGATGCAGCATGTCTGCTCTTACCAAATGAAGTCACCTTTTCAGTGTGTGTCAGCACGGAGCCCTGAATTTTCAATCAGAATGGAAACTTAATACCTGGAAAGAATGGACAAAAATGACAGTGGACAGCTGATATTTCTGCAGGTTTTTTATTGACAGGTATTGGACAAGTATAAGGCATGTTCACAGGCTCTGAGGAGAAGCACAGAGGTCCGTTCTCTCAGCAGCTACTCTTCCTTGTACCGGATACTGCAGTCTGCCCCTGCGCACTGCTCTCAACTGTTAGAGCACGCAAACCATGTTCCAGGGACCACTATGGAAAATGTCTCAGAACAGGGAATCAACTGCTATAGACTAAGTCACTAGACACTACAACTCACACGGAAACAGGTAGAAGAAGGTGACCAAACCTGCTACTGCAACAGAGAACACGCTAGAAAACATTTTTTTTTGTTTTGTTTCTTCCTGTTTGAGAGAAATGGAATGCATCCAGGGTTCAAGTTTCTTCTGTATGTGCCACTGCCTACAGGTCACTAAAATACACCTAGTTTTGAATAGTTTCTAATGCAGTTAGTTTGTTTTCAGGCCACAATACAAGACGGCATGCATCACTTTACACAAAAGTCAAACGCAGAACAACTGAATAACACCAACACCACAGGACTGTCGGGTACATTGGTTTTTGGTGGCGGGATAAGGAAGAAGCGTGGTGACTGGTTCTACACGGTGCTCTTTTGTTCAGCACTAGCTAGCTGGACAGGACACTTCCAAGCAAGCATGGCTGTCAGCTAATGAGACAGCACAGAAATCTCAGTGTAGGCCTCAAGTGTGGAGCTGCTGCCACAGGTAGCCAGTTTCCAGGGTAACAAAGTTTGTTTTTTGAGATAGGGTGTCTCTGTGGCTTTGGAGGTTTTCCTGGAACTCGCTCTGTAGACCAGGCTGGCCTCGAACTCACAGAGATCCACCTGCCTCTGTCTCCGAGTGCTGGGATTAAAGGTGTAAGCCACCAACACCCGGCTGGTCACACTTATTTAAAAAGTATTTTATAACTAATTTCCAAAATGTGGGTCAACTGGATCATAAGCACTTTAAAAATCTATGAGGGAGATCCTCCAGTTCCAGGTAAGAACCGAAGTGGCTAAGACTCTTTCCGAAGGCAGCTGCTCATCTCAGAGCTTCCCTGCAGCAGCCCAACCATGCAGGGATGTGGTGACACAGCATCGCAGAGGCCATGCACGGCTGTCACTTGCTTGGAACTTGGTATGTACTGCATTCGCGACTCCATGTGTTAGCTTTGTGATAGTGTACAAGTCCTCACATGTTCCTGTTTTACACTGGTAACAGGACATTGTGGTTATTTCAACGCATCACGCGAGTGAATGGTGCATCAGTGGAGAGTGACTACCTACAGCAACAGGAAGGCGGTTCCGTCGTGGGCTGGGCTGGCTTGGCCAGGACGGTGCAACAGGCTACTCTTCTGACAGCAGGTCCCCACTGCCGCAGATGGGGCAGGTGTTCTGGCCTTTAAGCCACTGCTTAAAGCACTGAGAAAGGAAGAGACAAATCATTGAGCGCCTGCAGGACCAATGGGCCCCTGGCTCTGTCACCACTGCTCTCTCTGGCAAGAGTATGGCTAACGTTCCTCCCGAGTCTGGTGCTGCCCAATGTAAGACAAGCCAATGTCTGCCTAGGGCGGGAACACAGATGAAACCCCAGGAGAAAACAACCCTGCTCCAGAATCACACTGGTGATCTCGAGAAGGGTCTTGTCCGCCCTGACACCCCGTCTCAGTGTCAGCTCTTCAAGCCCCCTTCACCCATCTGTACAAGTTGTCAGTGTTGTGGCCACAGAATCACTCAATGCTGGCTCCTGAGTGTCCCACATCTCCTGTTGCTGCACACGGCTGGGCAGGCGTGGGAAGCTGGGAGAAAGGCAAAGCGTGTGGTGCACTACCTCAATTCCCTCTGGTGAGCATTTCACATTTACCCTTTCCTAGGGTAATAAAAGTCAGAAGAGAGCGGATCTGTCCTAACCCTGCAGTTCCCAGACCACTGAGACAATTAGTCCTCAATCCTATAAGGGCACGCACCAGATGCTCCCATCCAGACAGAACCTGTCTCTAACATGTTGACTTTGCTTTCTATGCCACACCGAACAGACCCTGTACACTATTTAGTCACGTAAGAAACCACCTTTCAAGGAGCTAATATTGCTTTGAGACCCAGAGCCAATACAGCTACATATTCAGTCTACAGAGCTACAGACACACTGGGTGGTCCAAGACCCCAACCACTTCCCGAAACACCTGTTTTTACATCGGCCTATGAACACTATGCATATTTACAAAGAAAAAATGGTTTCACACAAGTACTGACACCTAAAAAAAATTCCATTTTTAATTTCAAAATGCTTGATAAGCAGTCAAGAGATAAGCCTTACCCCTTTGTGAAACCTGTGCCCACATTTTAGCACACGCATGTTTTTCGACTTGAATATCTCATGGCATATCTCACAGGAATTTGCATCTGGTGCCTGCGGAAACAAACACATTTAAATAATAAACTAACTTTTAATGACAGTACATGAGAGGTCTAAACATGTTTTTGCCACAAAGGCCGCAGATTATTTTCCAACTATGGTTGAATAGGTTGAAAAATAGCTTGTTTTAAAACAGTTTCCAGCGAGGCACGGTGACTCATGCCTTTAATCCCAGCACTCAGAGGCAGAGGCAGGTGGATCTCTGAGTTCAAGGCCAGCCTGGTCTACACAGTGAGTTCTGGGACAGGCTCCAAAGCTCCAGAGAAACCCTGTCTCAAACAACAACAAAAAACGTGGCAGTATAAATAGCTTAAATACTCCCAAATCAGTCAGGGACTTGGACAGGCTATGCTATGGCCAATTACAATGTTTGAAACTGAAAAAAAGCAACACAAAGTGGGTCATAACAGACCACTGGATGAATATAGTTGATGGCAATACTTATTATGTGATTAATTTTTAAAAATTAGACATGTACCTAAAGATAGATCTAGGAAACACTAGGATATATAAAATGTTAACAAGGTTACGCCAGGCTAAGATAGACTTAATTTTTTCCTTTGCTACTTTCTCAGGTTTATCTAAGCATGGATTATTAGCATAAATCCAAACAGCACACACCGGTGGCTCACCAGTAAATGCCAATAAAGAGCCTGCAGCACTGGGTGTGGAGATGAACACAGAGATGAGACTTCCCATATGCAGTTGGTGAGCACACAGTGTTTTCTGTAGGACAGCACTGACCCTACAGTAGACACGGACTCCTATTTTACTTCTTAATTCCAAACATCTAAGAAGCAAGAAATGAGTCTTGCTTATGTGGGTAGGTACCTCATAATTTAAAAATTCTGTGTCCCGCCATCCTCATTAAAGAGGAAAATGAGCAAGGCAGCTGTCCAGGTGATACTCACAGGGACATCCTCTCCTTTCTGGCCTTTGGTTCTGGATGCTGGTCCAACAACGGCGAAGGGTGCGCTCTGGGAGGACCTGGCCACAGCAGCAGCAGACAGAGCCTCGGATGTCTTGTCTCTTCCTGGATTTGGCTGCAGAGGTGACGATGTGGGAAAGTACAGATACTAATTAAAGTCTGGTCAGCTTCTCTGGTTTCACATTTTATAAACACGCATGAAGACCAACACCTTACCCTTTTCTTCTCCTGTTCCTCTAGAATGTGCTCCGTTACTCTCTCAACAATCTCCTCAATACTTAATCCAGGGAGGGAGTTCTTGTATTTGTTTCGAACTTTTCTAACAAAACCAGCAAGCTCAGTGCTGAAAGAGAAAATCAGATGATAAATAACTATGACTACTCACCATCCAAAGGCCTGTTGACCAGTTACCCACAGTGACCATACAGAAAGAACCATTTAAGCCGGGCGTTGGCGGTGCACGCCTTTAATCCCAGCACTTGGGAGGCAGAGGCAGGCGAATCTCTGAGTTCGAGGCCAAGCTGGACCGACAGTCTCCAAAGCAATACAGAGAAACCCTGTCTCGTAAAACCAAAAAAAAAAAAAAAAAAAAAAAAAAAAGGGAACCATTTAAGGCGGAATGATTCGTCTCAAGTAACTACATGGTTCAGCAGTTAAAGCGTGTGCATTGCTCTTTCCCTCCTGGGCAGGGCTCCCCTGAGACATGAAAGTTTCTTCTGGCCTGTCACGCTGTGAGCACACATACATGGGGAAGAGGGCAGCCTAGGTGTCTCTCTCTCATCACTCTCCAGCTTATCTCTGAGAACGATACACTGATCTCTGCTGTGCCTGGGCTACGGCCTGGCTGCCCTGCCTGCCTGTGAGGTCGGTGGGTTCTGAACCTGGGTTCTCAAGCTTGCACAAGTATTTTACCAAAATGAGTCATCTGCCCAGCTGCCCCAGACATTTTAAATGTCGGCTTTATTCCTGAATGTCGACTTGATAGCCTGCCATTAATACTGAGAATGAGAAACAACGCAGGTACAAAGTATCATGTGCAGAGCTCTCTTTTAGCTGGGCCCCACCCTGACCTCTACTTCTGCACTGACTGGGGAGCAGAGACACTCTCAAGCCCGAGCAGCCAGACTCAGTCTGATGAGCAGCAATTCCTGAGACTCACACGGATACCTTTGCAGTATGAATTCAATTTAGTCTTTTCACTTCACTCGGCTAACAAATCAAACTTCTTGCTTACAAAATGTGAAGATGTTAGTGTGTCCTTTACTGTCTGAACACATAACTATTTTATAGTTCATTTACTGAGCTCACAACATGTAATGTTGGGGTGTTACAGATCTCATCAAGTCCTAGCAAATGACTGTGTTCCTATGGCTTCTGCTTTGGGTTACTCAGTAGTCAAGCTTTCATTCTTTTTATTTTTTTATTTTTTATTTTTCCCCCCAGATAGGGTTTCTCTGTGTAGCCCTGGATGTCCTGGAACTCACTCTGTAGACCAGGCTGACCTCAAGCTCACAGAGATCCGCCTCCCAAGTGCTGGGTTGAAGGTGTGCACCACCACAGCTGGCTCAAGCCTGGCACTTTCAATCCTGATGTGAGCGTGACAACGGTTACTTGTGGCTTGGGTGTGCAGCTGAAGTGCTGGAGCCTTTGCTCCCATGAAGAGCCCTGGGTTAATCCAGCATCACATTACACTGGTCACAAGAATTAAAGTTCATGCCTTTCTCAGCAGAACAAGTAACACAGTCATTTTCACACTAATCCCTAACTGGCCATGGTTTTATCTTATCAAGAAGCAGTTCAATGGCCAGGCATAGTGCCCACACCTTTTATCCAGGCACCCAGGAGAGGCAGGTGGATTTCCGTGAGTCTGAGAACAGTGGTCTATATGATGAGTTCTAGGATAGCCAGGGTTATACAGTGTTAAGAATCTGTCTCAACCCCAAAGAAACACTTAATGAAGTATTTAATAGTGACAAACATCTATTCATACCTGGTGTAATACGGGAACACCACTGACAAGTGTTCGATAACACTGTTGAAAGGCTTTTTTGGAGACTGGCTTGACCGAGTGGCCTGTGCAGGTGGTTTCTCGTCAGCTTCAGGGCTCTGTTCTGATGGAGACACCTGGCTAGCCCTCATGAGCTCTATCTCTTGAGCAACTTCAGGATGATGGGTGGGTGAGCCTAGGGACAGTTCAGGAGCCTCCTCTGAGCAGTCACTGGTAGGCTCTGCATGAGAATCCTTATAGACCGCTCCAGTCACGCTGTCTAGAGAAGTCACCAGCCCTTCATCCTCAAGACCTGAACACTCAGAGAGGAACTCAGGATAAATCTGTTGAGAAAAATTAACTGGTAAGTATGCAAGCCACAATGCAGTGCTCGGCAAACTTGAATACAGCAAATTAATTTTTATTTTTAAAGAATCAGTAACTGTGAATTCTCATTACAATACACATGGGTCTGTGACTTGTAAACAACTGTCATTTTTCTCTGTAAAATTAGAAAAACTGCCTCAATGACAGCGCTCCCTTCAGTCTACCTGATTACCTTGTGCCCTGGGAGCTGAGCTATTGGTAACTGTCCCCACCGCCCAGGGCACAGGACGACCTACAAGTGTGGCCACACCTCTCCGTGGCTCTCTGTATGCTGCTGGAGGCCTCAATCTGAAGCCTAGGCCCCTCTCTCCCCAGGCCACCACACACTCTCTCGCCTAGCATATTTTCCTGAGGCTCTTACCTGCACTTGGGTGATCTGGGGAAACCAGACTCAATGTGCTCAAAGCCGGTTCATCTCACAACCATACGCTCCCATGTGGTGAGCAGCACAGGTCTTCCCCACATGGCTCCCACCTACAGCCCCTTCCCCAACGCTGCTGAGCGTAGTGAGCCGAGTGGAACTCGCTCCAGCCTTGCACGCCGACGTCTGCCTACTCCTCCCTCCAGTTCATCTTTTCCCTGACGGGGAACCTAAACCACAGCCCTCCAATGACCTAAAGAATAGCCCCAACTTTGGTGGGCGTCTCGGGGGCAAGGTGCTCCTCTGTCCCTTCCAAAGAAGCGGACTGCGGGTGCCCTTTCACTTCCAGCCTCCCAGCAGTGCTCTGTTCACGCTAAGCGCTGGCATCCGCCCTCCCCAAACACCACCCTCTTGTCCCTTTCCTACCCAGATGAGGATTTATGTCGCTGGAGCATTCAGTGGGAAAACATCCATGTGTCTTCTTTGCTGTAAGGTCTGTCTTTCCCCAAGTGCACAGTACCGAGAGCCCAGCCCACATTTAATCTTGATCACCACTAAATACCCAGGAACAAACGAGGAGAAACGAGGCACAAAAGTAATGGTTTTTGTTGTGTGCTTGGCTGTTGTTGTTGCTGTTTGTGGTCTTTGAAGACAGGGTTTCTCGTAGCCCTGGCTCTCCTGGAACTTGTTCTATACACCAGGTTGGCTTTAAACTCATAGAGATCCACCTGCCTCTGCCTCCTGAGTACTAGGCATAAATGGTTTTTAAGGATACTTTTTTACATAAATTCCTGATATACTGAAGTCTCAAAAGTTTGAATATGAAAACATTTTGAAGTTATAAAATTATAAAAATAAAACAGTGAATAGTAAAATATTCTACTAAAAGTCAAAAAAATTTTCCTTCCACATTTGCTGTAGTCACTTGGAGAAAACAAAAATGTGAAGTGACCTTTAAGTGTAATCAAGAACTTATTCTTCACTAAAGTCAACGCAAAGTGTAGATCAAGAAGCCACACCTTCCATTCCTAAGACATTAAACATTTTAATTATTTTTATTTTATGTGCATGAATTCTAGCTTGCATTTATGTCTATGTGACTGGTTGATGTCCTCAGAGGCCAGAAAAGGGCATTAGATGCTCTGGAACTAGAGTCACAGATGCCGTGAGCCACACTGTGGGTGCTGGGAATCAAACCCAGGTCCTCTAGAAGAGCAGGCGGGCTGTCAGGCACTGAGCCAAAGACGAGGAGAAGGGAGAGGGGAAGCACCAGGGAGACTTTCTGACAAAGGTCCAGCTAGATGCGTCCACAGTAGGACAGCACAAGGCAGGCCCTGGGAAAGCAGCAACCAGGCGTGAAATGTGACATCACACTGGACACTCTGAAATCCAAGTGAGGCCTGGAATTCTTACAGTCTCATCTCTGTCTAAATCCCAGAAGCAGGTACCTCAAAATCCAATAAAGTAGCTAGCCTTACTACAAAGTCCACAAAATAACTGCTTTTCTAAAAAGAACTTTAAATTAAAAAGATAAAATTTAACAAGCACTTTTATTTGAAAAGTACCTCAAAAAAGCAATCAAGTATGATAAGCTAGACTAATAAACTCCTTTGCGTCTTATGTGCAGCACTGTTTGCTTTACATTTGATGAGGAAACAGACTGAACTCAAGACCTGCATGCCTCCAAGTATCTAGGAGTTCAATTTCAGATGGTGACAGGCAGAGGTGGCTGCTGCAGCCACACATACCTGCCACTCAGAGTGCTTGTTCACAGGCTAGACTACACATAGTTCATTGTCTGTCTGTCTCTCTCTGTCACTCACACGCACATGCACACGCACGCACGCACTCCTGCATCAAGAAAAGAAGACAGACATGAAGGCATTTGAAACGTGGTACCACAGGGATGGCAGTGTGTCTTGGTGCTGTTCTCATACCTGGTTATGCAAACACCGATCCATTTATGGTAGAATGTTTAAAGCTTAGCAGCCACAAGCAGCACCGATCTGGAAATACTAAGACTAGCCTGTCCCTGTTTTCAGAAAACAGTCAGCACAACTATCTGGACAGTTAAAGAGATCATGGTAATGCATCCCTCCTCACTCACCATTGTCTCAGCAGGGAATGAAAGCTCAGAAACCGAAAGCTCACTGAGATGAGAGCCATTCTTAATGGCCTCAATTTGATCTTCAAACTGAGACTGTGGGTAGAAGAGAAAACGTTAAGTTTTTCTAAGCAATTCCAAAAGAAAACCACTGTTTCAATTAATATTGTTTTCCTGTCAGATAATTCATATGGCCAGAAGAGTCCCAAGAAATATTAGTGTGATTAAAGCTTTGAGATAATCTTTCTAAGAAAGTCACACCATTTTACCGAGGACAAGGCTGAAGACCTCAGTGTGAGCTGACCCTTGCCCGGCAGGCCTCCTCAGACTGGAGACCCCTAAAGCAAGACAACTGCTTCTCGGAGAGTGAGCTGGGGGAAGATCTTGTCATCGGGGCGCTGGGAAGCACCCTGTAATTTCTCCTGTTCCTTCTCTTGGTACTCAGGAGTGAACCCAGGGCATTATGTATGCAAAGCAAATGTTCTAAGATAACTAAGAAAGTATCACTAATTTCATGAAAAATTCCTAGTAATTTCAACAACAATAACAAAAATGACAACAGAAAAAAATCAAGGAATGTTTAAAATACAACAGTAGTTTCCAAAGAATTAAGGCCATCATAATGACTTTGAACTGTGACACGTTTTCCATCCTGAGAATTAAGGCCATCATAATGACTTTGGTGGAATGGTGACAGGTTTTCTAGCTTACCTTCGTGCTCTCAATCTCCTCTCCTACATTAGAAAGAAATGATTCCCACGAGTGTATGTCACTCTCAATGTCAGAATATGATGCAGAATCACTGGAAAATTTCAGAAGTAGAAAACTGCTTAACATCTACTTTACAGACTGGAAAAATTAAAAGCATTTAAAGGCAAACAGAGATCCATGTGGTGGTGCACACCCTTAATCTCAGAACTTGGGAGGCAGAGGCAGGTGGATCTTGGAGTTGGAGGCCAGCCTAGTCTACAGAGCAAGATCCAGAACAGACTCCAAAGCTACACAGAGAAATTCTGTCTCGAAAAAAAACCAAGGAACAAACAGGACGAAACAGAAGGCAAACAGAAACAGACACACTGTAAATTTGGAGCACTGTAAATTAGTTTTTGCCCTGGAGAAGCAGAGCCCCTTAGCCGAGGAGCTATTTGTAACTGATACCCAATGTCAAAGGGAAAATCAGTTTTTTCCAACGGAATCTCACTGGGTGTGTTTCATCCTCACCTCAGGGCAGCCCCGATGCCCTGGAGTAGGTGACAACACAAAATGTACTTTTGTTCCCGGGCTTGTCTGTTTCAGTTTGCTTTGTCCCCCTCACCCTTTATTTTGGTCACACTGGTTTCTTACTTGTTTATCTTGATTTTCACCTATTTCTTTTTAAAGAGAGACAGGAGAAAGAACATACGGTTGGGTGTAGGAAGGTGGGGAGGTTCTAGGAAGACTTGGGGGAGGGGAAACCATGATCAAAATACATTTCAGGAAAAACGTTTTAAATAAAGTTTTTCTTCATGTTTCTAAGTTTACTTCCCAAGTACATGATGGGAAGGACACTTAGGAGGCCACGGTACCTGCTCATCAGCTTGAGGCTTTTAAGATAGGTTTCTGCTTGTGATGCCATACTCTGTAATTTGTATACTTCTCGCTCCTTCCAGTTTTCAAGCACAGATACCTGTCAACACATAGATATATAAATATTTTACAAATGAAAATCTGAAACTGCTTGAAAAGTATATGTGTAAACATTAAAGACTTTCCAGATTCTCTTTCGTAAAGTATGATGGCAGACACATGAGACCATGATTACGCTGTAATGTCATCAGGTGAACAGGAATGAAAAATTGGGGATTTAAAAAGGACAACAAAAATATCTACTTAGTGACATGAAACCCCATGACTCTCTGTATCTCACTACAAGCACAGAGCCAGATTATCTGTGAGTGTGGGAGTCTACACAGAGTCAGGTTACTGTGAGTGTGGGAGATCTACACTACTCCAGGCACAGTGAGGACTCACACCCAGGGCACGCTTTCAGCTTTCCCTACAAGGGAACCGGCTGTTGTATAAGGATCTGTGCAGGAGATGTGGATCAGCCTCATTTTAACCCGGGTGTCGATAACCTGCACAGGGCCCTCCAGGCAGACCTGCTGCCAAGTAGCACAAAGCGTGAGCTGAAGAGGCCAGGAAACCAGAGGCTGGCATAGCGTGGCTGATTAGTGACTGGAAGCCTGCTATCTCCACACGGGCCAACTCATTCCTTTTCTCATTTCCCCAGAAAATCAGATACATGTGACAATAAATAGAACTTGTTTCTCAAATAAATACCGAAAATCACACTTATAAAGAAACAAAAAAACAAAGCAAGGTGTTGAACACAACCATTTTCTTTTGCTTCAGTTTTTCAAATAGTATACCAACAGTAACGTGTATTTCTCTAGGGGAACTGGAGACTATGTACATGTGCAAACACACACACACACACACACAAACACACCTTTTGTATTTTGGGAGAGGCTGTCCTTGAACCCGTGATTCTCTTGGTGTATCCGAGATTACATTTACAAGTCACCAACACGTAAGTAGGTTCTGGAGTATGTGTGTGTGTACACACGCATACACACGGAGGCCAGAGGACAATCTCTGTGCTATTTCTCAGTTCACTCCACCCTTCATCTGCTCGCATATTTAAGACAAGGCCTTTCACTAGCCTGCGACGTGAAGCAGGAGAAGCTGGATTGCTAGTGAGCCCCAGAGCCGTCTGTCTTTGCCTGCCTAATGCCAGATTTAAAAGTGGGAGGGGTTAGGGATGGGACACAGGTCCTTGTTGCTCAGCAAGCTAGAACACTTTACCAGCAGAGAGCCAGCTCTCCAGCCCAGGGTGGGGTGGGCGGTGTGGGGTGAGGTGTGGGGAGTAGGGTGTGGATTTCGTTTTTTGAAGAACTGGAAAATGTTGACACACCTCACGGCATGCCACTTGATTAAGTATGAAGATATTCCATGAAAAGCATGAGAAATAACTAAATTATTTTGTTAAATAAGAAAAAGTTATAAACTCTGAGATACATAGACGGGCACATCTCTGAAACAAGTGTAAAATGTCAGGTCTGGGGATACACTGCAGTGTGTGCTTGCCTGGAGAGCATGAGGACCCGATACTGAAGAGAAGGAATAAAAACTAAAAGTTCTTAGGCAAAGAAAAATAAGTTGTTTTATTTAGATAGCCTAGTCCTTAACCTCCCAGTTTCTATAACAGCATTGTTCTATATGTACCAAAGGCCCTCTGGACTCACCTCCGCAGCCACTGCTCTTTGACGGCTCTCCTCACAATGTTCTCTCCCCTTCCGGACAGACTCTTCTAGTGCCGTCTTCTCATCTGTGAGTGCGACACTGTGAAGACATCCACCCAGTGAGATCACAATGATGTCAAAGGTGAGGGTAGCCCTGAATCACATCACGTTTCCCAGCATTACTTCTGCCTCATGAGCTACCCTAGAATTCACTCACGTGCGCTCCGTACCTCCCAAGTGAACAAAGGGACGTAAGAAACCAAAAGGGAGTGTCTGGAACAAGTGAGCAGGATCACATGAGGGCACCCTGTGAGTGTGAGCGTCTGCGTGTGTGCATGTTGTGTGCATGTGAGAGCATGTGTGTGTGTGTGTGTGTGTGTGTGCGTGTGTGAGCACGAATCCAGGCACAGGTAGCGGTGGGTGTCTGGAGGCCAGAGGTTGGTTAACTCTGGGTGTGATTACACAGGGCCATCCGCTTTGCTTTCTGTGGTCAGTGAGCCCCAGGGATCCTCCTGTGTCCAGCTCCACAGCCCTGGTGTTACAGGTACTCACGACCACAGCTGTGGCTATGAGTGGATGCTGGGACACAACTCAGGTCCTTACGGGGCGTGCACTTTCCCAGCTCTATTCACTGGCTTTGGAGGATATGAGGGGTAGCATCTCGATAAACAGGTAGCTGTCCTCAAACACCCTCTCTGTTTCAAGCAAGAAACTCCATCATGGACCAGTTATAAAACAGGAAAAAGGTGATCAGTACAAAGCTGTTCATGGCCACGCTTTTTAAAAATTAACATGCAAAGTAGTGTGTTTCGTTGTGGCATTCTCAGGACTCTGCTGTGTTTCTTCTCCTGTACTCCTGCCCCTGGCCTCGGACGCCCCCCCCATCTGCCCTCCGCGTCCATCAATCTCCTTTTGCTTTCATATCAAGTATCTTTCACTTTCCAGACGGTTAAGATCTCTTTTTTCTCCCATGTTTCCCTCTCTAGTTTCGAAGACCAAAATGGACACATGAAAACTAAAGTCTGCACAAAAGAAAACACTGCACCCTTCGTGGTAAGCCTGGACTGTTTTGCTCACTGTGATTTCCTGTTCCACCATGGCCATACATTAAAATAACAAGGAAGGCCTCGGGAGATGATGAGAACAGAAAAGATTATGCAGAATGGCATTTCACAAGCAAACACCACTGCTGATCTACAGAGTCCATTAATGAGGATTAAAAGGGAACTCTACAGGTTCACAATGAAAACTGTTAAGCAACCATCTCCATTTTGAGATTAGAGTCTTAAAGGTCACGAGAGGTGTTTTCTGCAGGCGGGACGGGGACCCAGCCACACTGCTGCATGTTGGGAAGTGGTTCCACTACTGAGCCACACCACACCTCAGAAGAGTGCTTCAAATGCATTTGTAGCTTCAAGTTAATTAAAGAAAAGAAAGAAAAAGAATCAAGCATGGTGGCTAACACACTCTGGAGGCAGAGGCAGGTGGATCTATCTATATGAGTTTAAGGCCAGCCTGATCCAGGAAGTTAGTTCTAGGCCAGCCTGGGCTACACAGTAAGACCCTACTTCAAAAATAGAAAAGGAGTAAATAACAGCAATAAATCTGGCCATTTTTTATACTGACAACGGGAGGTAAAAGTAGAAACTCGAAGTTGGATGTTGGTGGCGCACACCTTTAATCCCAGCACTTGGGAGGCAGAGGCAGGAGGATCTCTGTGAGTTTGAGACCAGCCTGGTCTACTGAGCGAGTTCCAGGACAGCCTCCAAAACAATACAGAGAAACCCTGTCTCGAAAAAAACAACCAAAAGTAGAAACCTGAATATATGCATATTCAAGGCTTGAGAATTATTTCAGAGAGACAGATAAGCAAGATTGTAGTGAAAGATGCTAAGAATAATTAAAGCTTGGTTTGCCTGATTCCCAGGGACTGGTCCAGATGTGATCCGCATTCCGTATCTAATTCATCAATTTTGTAGGCAGACCTATAAAAGCAGCCACAAAACCTTAGTTACCTTTCAGGTTTTTTTCACTATAACTCCTCATCCATGAAGAAAATAAAATGCAAAGCTCCCCGTGAACTCAGACAGCCCCATTTTACTGCATCATGTAGTGTTGTTTAGAGCAAGTTTTAGTTTTTTGTTTCCAGGAATGCACATGATTGGCACCCCAGCTCTTCAGGAACACGATAGGGAAATCTCCAGGTTAAGGACGGCCAGGGTTACACAGTGAGATGACACCATTTCAGAATAAAAAAATAAATGAGTGACTAAGCAGCCAGCATGGTAGGGCAGTGAAAACGTTCACAGTAATGTTTAATTGTAAAGGCAACTGAGCCTTTGCTGACTCAGCTACATGCTATCTCACGTCTATGTAACTGATCTGAAAGCATGCACTTCAGACCAAGTTTTAGGTGAAAGAATTTTCAAAGTTTTAGGTGAAAGAATTCTTCAATGGATGCTTTTCAAATGATGTAAAACGATTGTGAAACTAGTATATACGAGGCTTTTTACCTGATATGTATTTGAAATTAAGTACAAAAAATGTGACAAGAATCAGAAACCACAAGATAGTAAACAGCACCACGCTTCAACTGTTACTTACATTTCACTGGTATTTACAACCTTTTTAATTTTTTTCTTCAGGGCCTTTAATCTTTCTTGGATTTCTTTTTTCTCTTGTTGCCATTTTTTAATTTCTCTGTCCAAATCTTGGAGGAACCAGTCTAATTCTGTCTTGGAGATCTAAAAGCATTTTAGAAAATACTTGAATAATCATGGCAATTCTTTTTTCCGGAGACAAAAGATCCCCAAAGCCTAGAACAGTGACAGTGTCTCAGCACATGCAACAACTGAAGCCCAGCGGGGCTGGCACTCTGGACAGACACACAACCACTTCCAGCCCTAGGGCTCAGCACACGCAGCACAGCCAGCCACATTGAAGCCACCGGAGCACTGGCCATAAGAGAGGCCTCTGGAGAACCCTGTGTGCCCACAGGACGTACACTGCAGTCTTCCCTACACAGCTCCCTAACCTGGAAGTAACTGCACATGTTTTGGCTGCCACATCCAACAGATTTTGCTTGCTTTCAGAAATGCAAATGTGATACTGCTGACTGATCAATGAAGGCATCTGGATTGAATACCTGTCTGAAGTCCAGGCAGTATGTTGGAGAAACTCTACAGAGGCAATCAATGCTAATTCCCTTCCCCTGGAGGGTCAGGCTTAATGCCACTCCCAGACTTAATTCTCGGCCCCCTTACGCAGTTGTTGCTTTTTGAAATGTCTGTCCCGATAAACATGGAAAAGTCTCCAGTCATTAGTGAAGGACCATCCACTCAGGGGGTGCAAGGCATATGAGTAGGATACCTTTCTAGATAAAATACCAGCCACAAGTAAGACATGGTATATCTGATAATTAAAGTGTACCAGACAATCCAAGCATTGCTTAAAACAAATAAAAAAAGTTAGTTTCTGTTGGGGAAGTCCTGTGTATATGTCAATAAATTACTGCTGGCCAATAGGAATCTAGATAGGTGGGGCTAGGAGTCCAGGAGGATTCTGGGTAGGAGAAACACGAGTAATTCAACATGTAACCGCCATGGGGTAGGAGCCCGGAACTATTCTCCGGTAAGAGACATACTTAGATTAACAATTATGGGGTAATTACTTAAGCCAGAGCTAGCCAGTAAGAAGCAAGCAAGGCCAACAGCTTCATAATTAATATAGCCTCCTGTGTGTTCATTTGGGACTGATGTGGCTCTAGAACCAGGCTGGTGGGAAGGCTCCTCTCAAAGAAAAAAGCTGTCCTTAACAAGTTTCTAGTGTGAAACTCTATGACTACCAACAACGTTTAATGTAATTCTGTGCTCCTATTTGCTAGAGAAAGACTTTAATTTCTTAGTTCTTCCTGTCTAGGTTTAGAACATGCTCAGATCAAGGATTCAGCTACAGAAACATGGGGCTTTCTCCCTCAGAAAGAATGACTATAATAAACCTACACAGATACAATAGGAAGTATTGGATTTCCAGTCAAAAGTGATACAGACCAAGAGGCCATTTCTCACTCTTCACCCCCAGACACCAAGGGTTCCGATGCTTATAGAGCTGGCGCTGCTAAGTAGTCGAGTTCTGTAACAGCCGGGACCTATGTCAGAGAGTGCTCTAGATGGATGTCATGCAGAGGCTCGCTCTTCCTGAGTGACAGAAGCACACACATTCTGTGGTTCTCCCTCAGGCTGGGGTGGGGAGCTGTTCACACTTTCCTTGCTAATAAAACCTTGCTGATTCCAAACACACTACGTCACCACAGTGCCTAGGATGACCCATGCCTACCACACGGATAAGCTCCTGTATTCTACACGGTCACTTCTATTCCTGAGATCAAGTCTGCTTGCTGTGCAGCTGGAAGCCACGCCAACTTTGTTTATACTGAGCCAATGACCTCACTTGGACCTAGCTCTGTGAAAAGGAGATTATGTGCAACCACAAGGTTATGCTAGGGCATGAGAACCTAATTGGCAAAGGTACTTCTGGGAGATCAGGTAACAGAAAAATAAAGAATTATAATCACATTTGTGTGCACACACTCACACACACAGCTCTGCCAACAAAAATATTCCCCAAGTTCAAGTGCTGTTTGCACTCACTGCCCTTAATGACAAAGCTGCTTCATAATTAACAAGGAAATGATATTAACTGCCACCCACTCTTGTGAAAACACAGCCAAACTCAGAAACACAACTTGAGAGGTACACAGTTCACTAGGAAAAGTCTAGAAACCGAACAAGCCTGTCCTGAGGGAACCCGCCATGTTCTTGAGTGCAATCTTGGCACACCAGATCAAAAGCTTGCAAAAGGAAAAAGCAGGAGAGAATTCCACATGAATGAGGCGAGGATATTGCATTGGAGCCCAGCTTAGACGACACAGTAAGACCCTCTCTCAAATGCCTGAGACCTCATGCCTGAAAGCCAGGGAGCAGCAGCCAAGCTCTATACTGTCCCTGCCGTCCTCTTGGGCACGCCATCTCCCCAGACATGGCAGGCTTGCGGGACTGTACAAATACAGTTCCCAGTCTGACCACTACTTTGTGGAGCTGGGGAGGTCTCTGTCACAAATGTCACTCATCAAACAACCCCCTGAAGTGACTATGCATCTGAATCTGCCTGCTACGTGATCACACAGGAGGCCACATGGATTACATGCAAATCTTCCTGAGGTAATACGACATCTGTATCACTGTTTTACTGAATATCTCTTTTATTCAAGGGTGTATCCCATGTGTCATGTGCTGAATAGGGTTTAATTCTTTTCTTTTACTATTTTATTTTTCCCAGACAGGTAGTGAAGAGAAAGACTAACTCCCCTCATCCTCTGACTCTCCCAGTTATATCTGTGTGCAAACAGGTCCTGGGGAGTGTTATTACAGTCACCTGTGACCATCCACCCTTTTCCTCTGGGGATACTCCAATCTCCATGAAGAGTTTTCCTAGTTAAAGTCACATTAAGGTACTTTTCCACTATTTAGTGTATTATTCCAGCTGTTAATTTAGACCTCTCAATTTTTCCCTTCTGAAGTGGATTAGTGTCTCCGTTCCCTTTATGAGCCGGAAGCAGCAGTTTCTGGCGTCTGCAATCTCACTGCCCCACTGCAGCCCCCAGCTATCCCGAAGGTGCCACTCCCCCTCCATAGATGTAGCTGGCGGCCCGTCTGGACTAACAGAATCTAGCCCAGACACCAGGGGACTGCAGTACACGGTGAAGGACAGAAGTGGAGCCATTGCTTCCTAAGCCCTGAGCGTGCACTGGAGTTTCACACTTGCTACAGTAAACTCGGAAAATATGCAACTACTCCCCAAAGTCTCCAGACAAGCGGACTAAACTTTAGTGGAGTGACCTAACTGCTCTATCTGAACAGCTCTAAGCAGAACGGTCAGGACAGAAGCAAGCCTGAGTCTGGGCCTCACACGAGCCTTTGGAACGACAGATTCCCAGTCCTCTTCTCAGAAGCAGTGTGTAAGGCTCTACCCAGCCACTCGCACTGGTACACGCGTCTCCCTGTCACACACAATCAAGGAGAGTCTCAGGCAGGGTCACCTGGCTTTCTTCCTCGTTCCTTTTCAGCTTTTCTTCCAGGTCCCTGATCTCTTCTGAGCTCTTGAGTTGGATCCGCTCATAGTTCTCACATGCTGCCTTCAGCTGCTCTCTTAACAGGCAATGCTCCTTCTCAATCCAGGAGAGGTCCCCCTAAGAGTAAACCAGAGGCACCAATTAATAGTGGCTTAAAACCTGCCATCTGTTTTGAACTGTCTCAAAGGAAGGTAAAAGGAAAGTTTATGTGGGAACTGTTGTAATAATTCAGAATTTAAAGTCTCTAAACACTGTTCAAACAAGGACCCAGCTTTGGTTTTGGTAGGTTTTTTTCTTCTTCTTCAAAACAGGCTTTCTCTGTGTAGCCCTGGCTGTCCTGGAACTCACTTTGTAGACAAAGCTAGCCTCCAACTCACAGAGATCCGTCTGCTTCTGTCTCCCAAGTGCTGGGATTAAAGGCGTGTACCACCACTGCCCTACTTAGCTGCTGCTAATTAAAAAAAAGAAAAAAGTTACCAAGGAACTGCTTTCTGTTATCTGCCATGTATTAGCTTGAAATCAAAACAAACAGAAAGACAGGATGTGATACTGTCTGTGAAATACCGATAAACAACAGATAGCACTTTCTGTAGCTTAGTGCTACTGTGTCTGAAGAAAGCACTGGGGATTTGGGAAACCCGGAGGTGCAGAAGACTGCCCTCCTGTGGCAGACCCCTTCAGTAATCAACCCTGATGGCAAAAATCTGAGCCGTCTTAACAACTTACTTGCAACAGCACCAGACTACTTCACAACTAAAAAGACAAGGAATCAAGTAACCGAAATTATAGGATTTATCAGAACACTGATTTACAGCCAGCACAGGCAGACAAACCGCTGTGCTCTGCAGGGCTCAGTTTATGTCTGCCCAGACCGAGATTTGACACGATGGAGACGTGAAACCTTCACGCCTACTGTGACACACAAGCAAAACTTGACAGCAAAACTTGACAGCAAAGACTTCAATTACCTCTATTTTATTCTCAATTTGTAAAAGAATCACAGCGAATGTGGTATTATTGATTACTTCTATATCCTAGGCACCAACAGAGACAGTTGGGACATCAAATGGCAGCTTTAGGTTACGATGTCTGGAAAACAAGGGTGAGCTATTGGAGCAGTGGAGGGTTTAGCCGCCGGTCACTGGACCTGTCTAAGTCTCGAAACTCAGGACTAATTTAACACAGCTTCTGTCAATGTTCTCAGTGCAGACTGACTTTCCTGATTTGGAGCTAAGTAAAAATAAGAAGAGCCCATAAACTGAATATACACTGTGTCCAACAGAGACTGGTTTACTATAGTACTGTCTACAAACAAAGCAGACACATTCTAAGTGTTCAATTAAGACAGCAAACAAATTGCCACACATTCTTGTAAAGAAACAAGCAAACATGTTGTGATTCTCTAACAGGTACTAACAGAAGAATGCAAATTCCAGATGCATTAAAACAAGATTCCATCTTTTACAAGATATCACTTAACTACATAGAAATGAACAAGTAAGGCTGCACATCAAAATATTAGCATGGGCTGGGTGTGGTGGTGCACACCTTAAATCTTAGCACTAAGGAGGCAAAGGCAGGTGGATCTCTATGAACTCCAGGCCAGTGTGGTCTACATAGTTAGTATCTTGTCTCAATAAAACACGAAAACAAACAAAAAACTTAGCATGTGTAAGATGAATATAGCTGATACTTAATTTCTCATGATTTCTAGTAATGTGTACTTAATTTTTTTTTTTTTTCGAGACAGGGTTTCTCTGTATTGTTTTGGAGGCTGTCCTGGAACTCGCTCTGTAGACCAGGCTGGCCTCGAACTCAGAGAGATCCGCCTGCCTCTGCCTCCCAAGTGCTGGGATTAAAGGCGTGCGCCACCAACGCCCGGTGTATTTCAATAGTTTAAAGGCTCTTTAGTGTATGAAAACTGACGGTCTTGCTCAGACAGCATGAACAATACATTTCTGTGACGACAGCTGGGTCTGTGCTGAAGAACAGCACCACAGTACTTCACCACATGAACACTGTATCTACTTTTAGCTACATAGTGCAACTTCAAACTGTATCTAATTTTTGACTGTTAAAATTATAAACAAAACAAATTCTAAACTGTCTCTTCACTGGTCTCCACACACCTATCAGTGTGTATTAATCTGTATAGCTTTCCCAGAAAGCTGCATTTTACTTCTTCCAATACCAGGCATATGGAATTGGTTGGTTTGTTTGTGAATGTCTAAAAACATCAACATTTCTTTTATTGTGGCTTGTATAGTCATGCTAATTCCCATTTTTCTGATAGGCAGTTTTTTCTTACTGATTGGCAAACCCTTTTTGTGTTAAGAATATTTACTCTTCTAGACCCAGAATTCCTGAACAGCTCCTGGGTTTCTGACCAAGAGAAACGATGACAGAGCAAATATTTACTGTTATTTTAAGCCACTAGATTTTTGAGGTTAGCCTTGAATTCATGGAGATGTGCCTGCCTCTGGAGTACTGGTATTGAAGGTGTGCCCATTACAGCCTGCCTCAATAGATAACTATTAAACATGGTTTAGGTTCACACGTGTAGTAAGATTATCCTGAATTAGGAAATAAACTAGGGGAAAAAAGAAAATCAGTCTTCTCGTTACATCCTAACCAACCAAGTACAAGGGCACCCCATCTCTTCATAAGTCTCTCAATAGTAGCTTAGCTATCTTGAAATGAAATTTTTGCTAAGAATGGAATATTTTCTCTTAATAAGTTAGTAAGTTGGTCTTAGTACATGGAAAGTATCTTGTATGTAATTACCTGTCACTTCTTCTGGTCTTAATTTCCATGAATAATGATACTTATACCTCCTTTTTTCTTTCTCATACCAAATTTTATTAGTTAATATTCCCAGAACAATAATAAATACTAGTGGTGATGTTTTTACCTTTAAAAAAGATAACTGAACCACTCTTAAAGTGGCTTAAGTCTTTGTATTTTCTGATATTGTACATGTCAATTACCTTATTTACACATTAATACGTGCTCATCACTCAGCTAAAAGAAAGTCATTATCCTTTGAATTAACACATAAAGGGAAACAAAACTTAACCTTTTTCTTGGCTTCTTCTCAAATTTCAACAACAAACCAACAGCTTTTGTCATAGCCTAAAGCTTATCCCACAGTAACTTTGGGATTAGCTGGCACCGATTCATATGTTAATAAAAATGGAATATTTAAACAATTAATATACTGTTGACTCACCTGCTGTGTCTCAAAAGGTTCATACGGCTCGGTATTGACGCCCTGGTGTACTACACTCCTAGACACCTGTGGGACAAACGGACCACTTAAAACTTAACAGACTTCATCATACCAGTAAAGTTCAAAGGACGCCCACGATTTTTCCAAGGATTTTTTTTCGATTATTTCTCTTCATATAAAGATTTTATTAGGAAAACATCGTTTAGAATGTAACCAAAATTAATGCTAGCTCTGTAGTATCATCATTTTTTTTCTTTTCTCTCTTTTTTTATTTTTTTGGTTTTTCTTTCTTTTTTTATTTTATTTTCCAGTTTAAATTTAGATAAGAAACGAGGTTGCTTCACAAGTCAGTTCCAGGTCCCTCTCCCATTCCCTCCCCTCCTCCCGTGCACTCCCCCCAACCCCCCCCCCCCCGTTATCCCCTCATTCCCCCAGGGAGGGTGAGGCCCTCCATGGGGGTGTCCATAGTCTGTCATTTCATATAGGGCAGGGCCTAGACCCTTCCCCAAGAGTTCAGGGTGAGAGTGCACCTCACATTGTTCTATGGGAGTCCAAAGTCCGTGTGTATACTTGGGATGGGTACTGATCTGCTGCCCAAGGCTCAATAGATTACCTAGGCCTCCTCACTGACACCCAGATTCAGGGGGTCTTGATCAGTCCCGTGCTGGATTCCCAGGCTGATGCCTGGGATTCAAGAGTTAACCTTTGTCAGGCCAGCTGTTTCTGGGTATTTTTTGGTTTTTCGAGACAGGGTTTCTCTGTATTGTTTTGGAGGCTGTCGGTCCAGCCCGGCCTCGAACTCACAGAGATCCACCTGCCTCTGCCTCCAGAGTGCTGGGATTAAAGCTGTGCACCACCACTGCCCAGCTCAACATTTTTTTCAAAGCTCCTAGGAAACAGAAAACTTCAGGGGGGCAGAATTCCACACCGACTTCAGTGAATTCACACCCAAAGACAACTGTGGAGAGGCCTGACTTATTTGCATGCTTGTCAGGAAGGTGCTCATACAAACCACTCATTTCTCTCCACCTGGCAGAACTTGGGCATGTGTAGTCCAAATTCTTCCCTCTTTCTCCCTTATTCATTACTTATCAAGTGGCTGGCCCAGGGCTCTGTGCATGCTGAACAAGCTCCCTCCACTGAGCTCACGATCAGACCCTGTCCTTTTACCTTCTCTCTATGGGGCAGTCAGCTCAGACTAGGGGCCGCTATTCTGACTCTGCTGTGGATGCAGCAGAGGCCAGTGTGGTGCAGCTGCTGCAGTTAGTAGTGTGTGCTCTCCTCTAGGGGAGCAGCCACAAGCCCTCTCCCCCTTCCTTTATAATCATGAGAGTGATGCTATTTCTATCAGTGTAGAACTTCGGCAGGGAACACAGATTATTATATATTGCTTAATCCAAACTTCTTTTTAACAACAAAAGAAGGGCTCATACTGACAAATATTTTTCTCTGCCTATCTTTTTGCTTGCTTTTTGAGACAGGGTTTCTCCCTAACTGTCCCAGAACTCACTCTGTAGACCAGGCTGGCCTCGAACTCACAGAGATCTTCTTGCCTCTACCTCCTGAGTGCTGGAATACCACCATCCAGTTTACAGATTTTTTTTCCAAGAAAAAGTTTTCATTACCACTATGAAGCCAACTACTTCTTTTAGCAAACATAATGGCAATGACAAATGAAAAGGCAAATTTAGCTTGTGTACCAACAAACACCCTGTGCAGCCTAGCAAACCTGACAACCTGTGTGCAGTCCCCAGATCCTACAGTGGGAGGAGAGAACTGACCCCTTAAAGTTGTCCTTTAACATGAGTGTGCGAGCTGCAGCATGTGTGCACATGCACCAGCACGCGCGCGCGCACACACACACACACACACACATTTTCTCTTTAAGTCTTACCTGTACGGCAACCACTGGAGCAGGTAGAGTGTGCGTTACGTCACTGACACCTTCTAGAGAAGCTTCACATGGGTCATCAGTGCTCCCATCACACCCGCTGTTTCTGTCAGGTTCACTCAGAGTTGTACTGGCATCATCTGGGCTGCTCCGGGACGTTGCCGACACTTCCAAAGAATCATCGAGGAACTGTGTGCCAGAGGCAATCTGGTGATCAGCGTCACTCTCGGGGTTCAAATTATGACCGTCAAAATACGCAGCAGCGCCTTTATCTGCTCTGTCAGTGGCTACAAAGGGTGGCACCACTGGCATGGGCCTCTGCAAGGAATACTCAGGAGGCATTCTGGCCAACGGCGTGTAGATGCCAGCGAACTGGGACAGGCTTGGGAGCACGTTGACGTACGCTGGCCGCGGCTGGCTGAGGTCGAACCCCTGGAAAGGGAGGTATGTGCAGAACCCGGTGACCACGCGGGACTGAGCCCAGTACTGAGCCGGTGCGGCATCATCAGGAGCTGGTGTGGGGGGAGGGGAGGAAACCGGCCCGGGATGCACATCCTCACAGAGTGGTGTGGGGGAGTCGGAAGAGACTGCTTCCAGCCTGCTGTCCTCAGAAGCTGAGCCAGAAGAGCTATCAGAGTCCAGCTGGGGTTTCAGGTCCTCGGGAGCTGGTCCTGGTGCGGACTTCACATCCTCACACACTGGTGTGGCCTTTACATCTGGTTTAAATTCCCTAGCAGTTGGGTTTAGTGGCAGTTTAACTCGTAAATATTCTCCTGTTTTTGAAATTTCTTCAACTTTAGTTTTAATGTTTTTCTTCTTTCTTTTTTTCTTGAGTCTTGAGGCAACTTTTTTCAATGCAATACAGTTGTCTATCACAACAAAACGAGGACATCCCAGGAGGAAAGATTTCAAACCTCCTGCTTTCTCTAGCATCTGTCGAGTTTCTTCAGGGAAGAACTCATCTTCTTCAGTGAACACCCTGTCATTCATGTCCAAGGGGCCATGCTCTTCCAACAGCTGAGAGAAGTAGCTAGAAAAGACAGTATTTACATTGAATTACAAGAAAGTACTAGGGTTCTCTTTTCTTCTTCCCCAGGCAAAAATATTTTACTTCTGGTATCAATGCCCCTAACAACAAAATCCGGAGGAAACAATGAAATCCAGACAGAAACCAATGATACAACAATCAGAGACCCACTTGCCCTGAGAACACAATCCCTTAATGCTTTCTTTGGGAAAAGAAGCTCAGATGTTATTTTATAACTGCCAACTAATAATTGTGTAATATATGTAAAAATAGAAAAATCAAGAAAATTTTTTTAGAAAAATATTAGGAATGATAGTAACAAAAATGCCAAATGAGAAGTGGGGAAACAAAAAAACCTCAGTATCTCACTAACCTCAAACAAGTCATGCCCCCAAAATAAACTCAGAAAAAAACACTTAATTTGTATACAATAAACCCATTAAAACGCTTATCAGGAATATGCAATCCTTCAGAAGAACCGAACACATCACACCTGATCAATAATCCACTCTGTCCCAAGACCCAGGTTCACACTGAAGGATCTGAGACCTTGCTCAGTCTGACATCAGGTGTGAACTGAGATTGTTCACTCCAGCTCTGGGTCTATTTTGCTCAAAGAACTGGCTTCTTCCAATTAAATTTTGTATTTATTCTGTAACAGTCAAACCATAACTTGTACGCAAAGCATAGCAGACACCACTAAGACTATGGAGGACTCTGTGGGGGCGCTTGTGGTGACCTCGTTGGTGTGGTGAGGAGAACCCTCATGGGGAAGTGGATTACAGACACCCTGTGGGGCACGAGGAGCGACTTCCTGTGCTGTGAATGCACAGACAGATCTACCCACACACTTTCACTTCTCAAAACCCCAAGACCATGGATGAAAGTCTGGTTTACCAGTCCTATCAGCACAGTTTTAAAAGCAAAAATTATCAGTCTCAGGAGCTCAAATTGACAAACAAATTATGATCAGGACTCTGAATTTAGTAATTAAAAACCCTCAATAAACTTGGTGAAATACACGGCAAAGGTTGTGAACACACATCCCCCAGAGATGAGACAAACAGTAAGCACGTTAACAAGTGTAAAAGACACAAACAGCTTGGACCCTCACTTGGCAGCCCTGGAAGTAAGCCACGGGGATGAAGATACTCACTCATACAGCGTGGAGCACTTCTGTTTGGGGTTGATGTCCCACAGCTTCTTATTACGAACGACATACTCGCTGCTGTGCTGGTCATAAAGAGCTTCAAACTCCTCGACATCTTGGCGAAGGTGGTCAGGCACTGCAAACGGGCCTGCAGAATCCGAGTTGCGCCTGCTGGGTTAAAAACAATTTTATGAATAAACTTTTGGGAAGGAATATTTAATTGCAGGTGAAGATACCAGAACACAGGGAAAATCAAATATCCTACAGAAAACCATGTAATTTAAAAATGAAACAACCAAAATCACTTAGTAATCTCAGTTTTATGCTACAATTTATACCAAAGAATTTAATATAGAGCAGCTATAATTAACTGGGGGAGTTGGTTCAGTGGCAGAAAGCACTTGTTGATACTGCAGAGGACATGGTTCAGTTCCTGATAGCTGCAGGCACCAGTAATGCACAGATTGGTAAAACACTGACATAACAAATAAGTAAAACTTAAAACCCACTTACAGTCAAGAAACACTGAGCTTATATTCGAGTCAATTTTATTTACTAAGAGCATAGTTATTTTCAAACTCCACATTTAAAACAGAAAAATCAAGGGTAGGCATGGAGGTGTACGCCTTTAACCCCCAGTACTCAGGAGGCAGAGGCAGGGGAATCTCTGGGAGTTCAAAGCTATTCTGCAAGTTCCAGGACAGCCAGGACTATACAGAAAGGCCCTGTCCCAAAACAGAAAACAACAAAACAAAATCAATGCTGCATTAATTATAACTCATTGAAGAGTTAGAGACAAATGCACATAAAAATTTTAACTGCTACTCATTTAAGTTAAGAAAGGTTAAGAAGGGCTGGAGAGATGGTTAGAGGTTAAAAGCACCGACTGCTCTTCCAGAGGTCCTGAGTTCAATTCCCAGCAACCACATGGTGGCTCACAACCATCTACAATTCAATCTGGTGCCCTCTTCTGGCATGTAGGCAGAACATTGTATATGTAATAAATAAATAAATCTTAAAAAAAAGAAAGGTTAAGAAAAGTAAAAGTATTAATAAAAGCATTTCTAAAAGGTATGTTATAAGCCTGGTGGTGGTGGCACATGCCTTTAATCCCAGCATGCATGAGGTGGAGGCAGGAGGATCTCTGAGTTCAAAGCCAGCCTGGTCTACAGGGCGAGTTCCAGGGCAGCCAGGGATACAGAGTAATTCTGTCTCAAAGAAAAGAAAAGAAGAGAAAACCCCCAAAAGAGTGTAACAGCATCATGAAGAACAGGGGAAGCCCAGCAGCAATGCAGACCACACTCACCGGTGTGCACTGAGGCCTCACCCTGCAGTGGCCACCTTTGTGGTTAAGACAGCTAAGGGAGACAGGGAAGTCACAGAGAATGCCCCAGATTCCCCTCATCTGCTCCTCCAAAGCTAGAGCCTGAGCCTAAAAAGGCCCCTGAGAAGAAAGGGGTCCTGAGGGGGAAGGGGAGCTGGTGACTCTGCAGAGAACAGGGCAGAGCACTGAGAAGTGTGGACATTTCTGTTACAGTATGTTTCAGTGACTGTACAGTTTAAAGTATTTTTTTATTAAGAAAAAAATCTTATTTTACATATCAATCCACCCATTCCCTCTCCCTCCCATGCCACCCACCGGCCACCCCCTACCCATCCCCCATAAAGTATTTTATACCAAAACGTTTTACACTTGAGACAGGATCTCATAATGAAGCCCAGACTGACCTCTAACTTTCGGCCATCCTGCCTTAGCCTAAACACAGTTTAGGTATGAGCTACCATTACTCAAGGCTTTAACGAGACTCTTTAAATTTTATGTTTAATTTTGTTTTTTTGTTTTTCAAGACAGGTCTCTCTGTGTAGCCCTGGCTATCCTGGAACTCACTCTGTAGATCAGGCTGGCCTCAACTCTACTTGCCTCTGCCTCCTGAGGCCTGGACTAAAGGCGTGCAACCCAACACTCCTGGCTGGTTAACAAGTCTTGAAGCCATGCTGTTAATACGAGAACTCTACTGCTTCAGGAAAGAGTGTACGTCACTAACAGAGTGTCCCCAGAGCTGCATGGGTGTGGAACAGCTCACCTTCCCTGACAGTTCCAAGAGACCAAGATTCCCCAGGCTGAGAAACTCAGCCAGCCACCTTGGTGCAGCTTCCTTGGCATGTAAAAACGTAAGCTTCCCTGAACCAGAGACCTGTCAGGCCTGACCCCACACAACTAGTTTTGCCCATACGCCAGGCCACGTGGACCTTGTAGTGACATCAAGATGTCATCCTCAGAACAGCAGTGGTTCTTTTCTGAGACTGTAGGTTTTCAGATTTGTCACTCTGCTTTCATTTCATTTTCAGACTTGACTCATGAGAAGTCCTGCCAGCCATTCCTTATCCAGAGCACACAATGAGAACTGTGTGTGTGTGCATGCATGTGTGTGCATGCATGTGTATGTGCATGCATGTGTGTACCTGCCAGCCTTTCCTTATACAGACACACAACGAGAACTGTGCGTGTGCGTGTGTGTGTATGTGTGTGTGTATGCGCACATGTGTAAGACAGGGTCTAACTATGTAGCTCAGGATGGCCTTGAACTTACTTTGGTGTGTAGCTCAATCTAGCTTCAAATTCAGTCTCCTGATAGCCAAGACCACCATGTCGAGCTCACTTCATGGGTTTTACAACGGCTTTCTGATTTTCGCAGGCTCTCCCAGAAGGGGTTTAAGTTATAAATGTCCTTCCTGAAGCACAGCGATTGCTCATGAAAAGCATATTTAACGAAGCTGTGTGCATTCTGGTTCAGGAAGCAAGCGTGTATCAACACAGAGCCTATGTGAGCCACTGCCACTGCGGTGAAGACCAGCCCCATCGCTGTTCTGCAATCTGTTTGCTAGAGTATTTCCTTCCCTGTCAGCACCATCCTCTCTTTCCCCTTCAGTACTCTTCCCTCTAAAAGGGGCCTTTTGAGGCCTAGGGTCTGTCTTGTTTAGATTCTTAGCACTCTAAAAGGACATAACATCTTGAATGTGGCCTTGAAAACCAGAAAGTGTAGTTTAAATACTGGGTCTGCTATCTGGGGGCATTTTATACTTGAAGTCCCTCCTTCTACTAGGCCTCAGTGTCTTTATCTATCCACAAGGACACAGAACACTGCTGTCCCGTGGCAGATGAATGGATTAAATGAGTTCTATGTCTAAATCCCTGGAATAGAAACTGGTACATGCCAATGTCAGTAAAGGCCATGTTATGATCTAAATGTTTGTGACACCTCCCCCACACACCAAATTCTTACGTCGTAATTTAATCACCAACTAATAGTATTAGGATGCCGGGCCTTTTGGAAGTGATCAGGTCATGAGGCCATATGTCTGACTTGTATTAAGCTTAGGATGGTAGAAGCTACTTTACTCTTCCATTTGTGAGAACACAGGAAGATGGAGCCATTCATGTATGCACCAGGAAATGGACGGCCTCTTTGACACTAGGACTTCCGACTCCAGGACTGCGAGGAATGCTCCACCGTTTGTAAGCTATTCAGTGTGGGGTATATCGTTGTAGTAAATTTATGGTTTGTTTTTAATCAACTTAAAGATTCATGTTTATTAATGTTCTGCCAGCATACATACGTGCACCATGTATGTATGCTTGAAGTGAGAAGAGGGCTGCAAACCTCTTAGAGCTGGAGTATGGATGGTTGGGAGCCACCACGTGGGTGCTGAGAATCAAACCCAGGCCTCTGCGGGAGTAAGTGCTCTTAACCACTGAGCCAGCTTTCCAGCTCAGAAGTCTAGTTTTTTTTTTTTTTTTTTTTTACGAGTCAGGGTTTCTCTGTATTGTTTTGGAGGCTGTCGGTCCAGCCTGGCCTCGAACTCACAGAGATCCACCTGCCTCTGCCTCCCGAGTGCTGGGATTAAAGGTGTGCGCCACCACCGCCCGGCTAGAATTCTAGTTTTTAAGTACATCATTTTAGGGCATTTTGTCTTGACAGCCCAAACAGACCAAGACAGGTCCTTGTTAGTTCAGATTAAGACAATTCCCTCACCTTAAAAATGTCCTCATGCTTATTTATGCGGAAAGCGCTTTACCAACTGAGCCCCACTAATTGTGCAAAATAATGGGTTTCCAAATATGACATCCTCACACATTCTTGTCACATATTTTGTTTTATCTGTCTCAGTAATTATTTTACCTGAGTCTCTTCTTCGCCTATTCCTGTGACTTTAACACAGCTTGAATGAATTCTTAAGGCTGTAATTGTTAAACCCATGCCATTAACCCAAATAAGTTATCATGATAGATTTATATCTTTAAGAGAAGAAGGAATGAAGGAGGGAGGGAGGGACGGAAGGAAGGAAGGAGAGGAAGGGAGGGAAGGAAAGAGGGAGGGAGGGAGGAAGGAAGGAGGGAGGAAGGGAGGAAGGAAGGAGGGAGGGAGGGAGGGAGGGAGGGAAGGAAGGAAGGAGACGCCAGTGTACAGAAAGCCGGCCTGACTTTGAAGCGTGAACACTGGTGTGGTGCTGAGGTGAGCCGGCTTACTCACCCATGGTCTTCTGGGGTGACAGTCTCATTGCTTGCTGCTACCGATGTAGCTCCGGATCCCACTAACATTGGCTGATTTAATAGAAAGAAAAGAGACAATGATATTCCCACCCTAAAAAGTGAGACTCTACAGTAAATGATAAAAAAATATTCTATCTTCAAAATGGCACTGTTCTACTCTAAAGTTCCATAGAAGAAAAAAACTCACCTTTGAAATTAATGAGAATTTACATAAACACATGCATGCCAACTGTGAATTCTAAAAAACGAACTCAAAGTTTCTTATAAAAAGGAGACAGCATCATAATTTTGTCAGAAATAGACGGAAAATTAAAACTTAGGGTAGTTTCCAATGTTCCAAAACAATGTAACTGTGACTTTAAGTCAGTCACTAAAGCACCTGTTTTTCTCAAAGATGCAGGGCGAAGCCGTGTGGAACCCCAAGTTGTCGCGCCCCTTTCTAGCAGCTGCTCACCCCTTCTTCCCATCTCCCCTGCCCCTCCCTCTGTGCTGTGCCGCCACGAAGGCCTCCCCCAGCATCTGAATGAGGCTCTTTGGGCTCCAGGGCTTAGGACTGACGTGAATAGAAGGAGAGTGACAGCATCAGGATGGCTGGGATTCATCACTTCGACTGTTTCAGATAAACATCTGAACAGAAACAACTTTCATCGACGTTCTGAATACCATGAAGACAAACATTCTTTCTTATCTGCTCCTAATGCCCAGTCAAGTGGTATTATTAATAAGCATGTGCTAGCTAAGGATCCAGTCATTTCTTTTCTTTAAGTGCATGAATTCTGTGGGGTGTGTTGATGGGTTTTTGCAGGTGTCCAAGGACATATGTGTGCGTGCGTGTGTGCAGGCCACAGGTTGCCATCAGGTATCTTCACAGCCATTTCCCAGCGTCTCACTGGGCCTGGAGTACCCGGGGTAGACTGGACTGGCTGGCAGCAAGTTTTAGGGTACCAGCTGCACTGGGTGCTCACACAGGCGCTGGTAGCAAGACCTGTCTGACCCCAGAGCCCTCCTGCCTACTCTGTTCTACTGTCACCTTCATGGGGTCTCACGAGTGCTCATTCACACAAGGTTTCAAACTGCTCCAAGAGCTGTTTCTTTCTCACTAGCATAGCCAAGTCAGCTACTGGACACCAAAGATCTCGACAGAAGACTTTCCTTACCTTCGAATCTTTTGGCTTCTTTTTCTTGCCTTTGTTTTTTACCTTGATACAACCAAACTAAAAAATGAAAAAGAACATCAATGAATGCTCGAATAGTAGAATCGTAAATCTCAACGAAATACCCACACTCATTTCCCTCGACTAGCCATGTACTAAATAAATCTTAGTGTCACTACAGTGGAATGCACACACTGGCGTGCACCGCTCCAAGCACTATTGAGAAAAGGCTTAATGAGTGACACTTCATGTTACAACTAACATTAAACCGCCCCAACATTTTAACCTCCATTTCAACAGGGCTTATGTTACTTCAAATGAATAAGCAGATTTTTGGGAATTCTGAGGTAGACGATGACAGCATTTTACAGACACTCCTTAAAGCAGACGGCCAGAGGCTGGGTGGGACCACGAGGGAAGTGGCAAGTCACTAGGTAGCTGAGGACGCCCTTGGACATGTGGTCCTCCTGTTTCTCTTTCCTGAGTGCTGGCATTACAGGCCTGCCTCACCATGCCCCGTTACGCACGGCTGGGGATGCGGCTCAGGCCTGTGTACACGCTGGCCTCTTTACCAACTGAGCTACATTTGCATGGCTCTAACGGCAGATCCTCCGTGGGGTCTGCAATGTTAACTGTCAAGCAAGTAAGCACTGGCTTGGCCTCTCCTCTGCTCCTTTGTCTCCCGGAAGGAAAACCCTGGGATTCGAGGGCTTACCGGCACTTCATCGCTGTCTTGTTTCCGTAACACAGTACATCGGCTATCTGCAGGGAGAACAGAGGCCTCTGTGTGGTGACTCAGCCATCGCGCTTTTGAATTATTATTATCACAATTATCACATGCGAAAGCCTTACACAACCACCCTTGGGACTACCAGCATGGCCTGTGCTCTTTCTTCACTTGGCTCTGATAAAATTGAGTTTAAAAACCAAGATGAAAATAACTGACTAAGTGGGAAATCAACTACAGGGAGGCACGCAGCTTTAACCAAAGCCAGCACATTTTCAGGGCCTTCTTGGTGCCATCTATGCCAGGACACGGGAATACAGAGGTGCCTGGTGCCAATGAGCTCATGATCCGCTACCAAAACTAAATAAATAGATAAATGAATGAGTGAGTGAAAAAAGCAACAAAAAGGGTCTGGTCATTCAAGTGAAGGATGTGCTGGGACGGCGCAGGTGGTGGGGATGGGACTGCACCATGTAGGAGATGCCCAGCAAGTGTTCCCACGAGAGTCACTCGAGGCAGTATGACACGTGTAGAAACGTACAGGCCAGAGTCACCACTACTGTAATCATCTGATCATGGAAAAAACAAAAAAAACCAAAACAAAACAATGGAGGCCTTGGCCTACAGAACTGAGACGAATAGGAAAGGGCAGATCAAATGTAAGGTTTCTTTGGCCTGGTGACAAAGTATTTACAACAACAATAACAGAAAAAAGGAGAGCCAAGACTAATGCTAAGTTTCTTGATTACCACTTAGATCTATAACAATGTGCTCATCGATAAGAACATAAGATCAGGGAAGTGAGCTCAGCCATGTTTCTTCTAAGGGACTTTGGCTCTCTGTATAGACTTCCGGATGGAAGTATGCATGCCTAGTTCAGGACTGTCGAGGTTCCCAATTATCACTGGTGAAGACACTAAACATCCTGATATACAAGGCCAATGGATTTTGAAAAGTCTTAAAAAATACAATACTCCTTTTAAACAAGAATAGAAAAAAACCACAAATCCCTCAGGTGAGAAAGGGATGTGGAGTTCTCAGACTTGGTAAGACGGCCTCAGATGGCCTTCTGCCCCATGGGTGCAGGAGGAGAGCCACAGGCAGCAAGGTGTGCTGAGGGTCAGGTGCACTCGAGAGGTGTTGTGCGGCAGGCTTGTGAATGCAGCCACCTTCTGCTATTACAAGCACTGAACTAACGACAGTAAGCCAAGGCTATTAAATATGGCGTCCCTTGCAGTCTAGAAGGGGCATTCTTTTCAAAAATATCAAACACAAGTAAGCAGCTTGCACTGCACTGAACTCTGTGACACACGACAGTGCTACAAGGTCAGACCTCCTAATGCACACTCAAAAATAAAGAGCACAAAGCCGGAATGCTCGTGCCTGACAGTGTATAGACTCGGATGCCGAGAGAATGAAGCTACTACCACAGGATGGATGTCACACAGACAAAAGATGGGAAGTTAAAATTAATTTAGACTCTTGGTATTAGAATCTTTAAAACAGAATCACACAGATAAATCAGTTGATTACAATGAAGAAAGCCCAGGAGAAGCTAAATAAATTAGCTGCTCTCCAGTCTACTCTGACAAGTCTAACTATTGCATCCCCACCCAGTTGCTAAGCTCCACACACCTGTCCAATTCCACTCACACATCTGCAGCTCCCCTGAGACCATCCCTGTCCCAGAGACTTCACAGGAAGAATCAAAGCAGCCCTTATGTGAAGTCCTCCCTCCATTAAGTCTCTCAACCCCCCCAAGAAGACACACGCCTCACATACCCATCACATCAAAGAACTCATCGAGGGCGCCTTGCAAGCCTGGGAACTTGTCTCTGTGCTCCTCCAGCAGCCATATTAAGTAGCGGGCTTCCTTCATTGACGCTGGCTCACAGAAATAGTCGAGCTGCTTTCCTTCTATAGAATCCAGTTTATGACCGTATTTCTCATTCCAGAGGAAAGTCATGATGCTAAAATCAAGTTCCTTGAGAGAGGCTCCGTATCGAGTAAAAAATGGTCCTGTGGCATCTAAGCCTGCAACAGAACAAAGCCCACATCTCAGAAGCCAAAACTTCTTCAGTGAAATTCCCAACCATCACATCCTCTAGAAGTAGTTTTATTTACAGTCTGCTTACATATTCAGTGAAAATGTTTAAATACTTGATAAATTAGTCAAAACTACCGTGTATTTCACAAACAAGATTAAACAGAGATGATAATAAAACCCTTTAGTAGTTGAGGAAGGTGAGCCAAATGGTTCTATCATTAAAAGACAATGACACTACATTCCCTTAAAAATATACCACTCTTGACTAATTGTTGACTTTCATGTCTAATTGAATTGCTGAGATGTTACAATGTTTTCCTATAAGTATTCCACACCAACGAGATGTCAGCAATACCCAAATCCTCCCAAATGCCTTGAACAGAACTATGTTGTACAGACTCCTCCTCCACCCCACTCCACATCAGCGACGAGGAAGCCCACTCCTCACTATGGCAATACTCGGTCAGCTTCCCTTCATGCCTCATGGGTGCCCTCAGCATAGGCCTAGGTGTCAAGTCAGCAAGGCATCATTCCTTGAAATTATTCTGGTAGCTGTTTCCTCTGGTCAAGACACTTAGCTTACAGAAGTCACGTGACATGAGAAGTCTGCATGTTTAAACACAAGAATCCATGGCAACATAAACTATGCTGCCAATAGAAGTTTAAGAGAGCTGCCAAAGAGACTCACCTTCCCTGTCTAGTCTGACAGAACAAAGCGTGTGTCCCGCAGGTGCATGTGAGCAGACGACATCACCTCCCAATGCTAACTCCCTCTTGCAATCTATTTCTTCCTCCATCCCGTTTTTACTGATCAAATACATTGGCTCCTAAGTTAAACACGAGTGATTCCACTAAATGGACTTTCATGAGAAGGAAATAAAACTCCATGAACTGGAAAGTATTTCCTTTAAGAAGTAAATGTGTTTCAGTCCAGGTTAGAATAAAAGCTTAAGTTCACTTCGGAATTTAAAACTATGCTTACTGTCTCCAGAGTAAGCACGGACTACATCGAAAAGAGCTAAGTTTCCCTGCCAGTGAGGAACTGCAAACCTCAAACAATGCATTTAGAACAACAAAAAACAGTGGTTGGTCTTCTAGCTTCTGAAGCATAACCCAGATAAGACTACTTCTCCAACTCTTGAGTCTATCATCTGACAGACACCAATGACAATCCTATCGTTCACTAGGACAGGCAGGCCTCACCCCTGGACTGAGCTGAGAGGCAGTGTTCTCTTCTCTGAGGGCTCTTTCCTTCTCAAGTCTATCAACAGCTGCTGGCTGACCATGCATTGTGCCTGGCCAGTCACCATTCTCGCTGGCCTCACGAGGCCAAGAGCACCCTCACCCAGTGTTGAACAACCACGACATCTACGATCCTTGCGTGGGGAGGTTTCATCAATCTTTCCTTCTCCCAGTCAAATCAGCAAAGTCACAGCAGCATGAAAGTAGGTGCATAACTCTGCCATTCACAGTAGGCAAGTGCAGTCAATCCCCCCTGGTTCCTTGGCAATTAGCCCCGCCTACTGGTCCTTTTAAATCCTTTCTCATGGAAAAAATTTTCCGTTTTTATTTCTCAGATGCTGGCCTGAACAAATCCCTGCTGCCACTGTACTGACAGCAGACTGCATAGTACACTTTTGCACACATTTCCATCTATGTCTGCATAAATTCACACATTCACAAATAGTTCACATGATTAAGCCCGCCTTTCTTACTCTCATCTTTTGAAACACTATCAAAACCTGTCTATGGAGTAACCTAGAAGCACCTGTGTGGAGAAAGAATCTTTAACCACATAAAAACATAGTTGTGCATTTAAAACATCTCAAGTAGGCAGGATGTTGGTGGCGCACACCTTTAATACCAGCACTTGGGAGGCAGAGGCGGATCTCTGAGTTCAAGGTCAGCCCGGTCTACAGAGTGAGCTTCAGGACAGGCTCCAAAGCAATACAGAAAAACCCTCTCTCAAAACACCAAAAAAGACCCCCCAAAAAAAACATCATAAGTAGTTAGATGGCAAAGTAAAAAGAGCTCACAGGCTTGCATTTACCCTTCCCAACAGCAGCACTCTAGAATTTAAAGGTACGTACCAAAGCTATTAAGTCTCTGGATCCAGGGAGCCAACTTGGGGTCTATCTCTTTAAGCTCGCTCAACACATGCAGAAATACTCGTGTCTTCACTCTGTTGTTTTCCTGAACCAAGTGACGGATAACATAGTCTACTGCTTCATTGAGAAAATTTTTGCTGGAAAAACATGTTGTATAGTCTTCTGTGCTCAGAACCTTCCAGGAGAGCAGCTCTTTGAGAAGTGTGGAGGTATTCAATACCCCAGACTTAATCTTGTCAGCATTCTGCTTTATGCACTGCAGGATTCTGTCATCTAGAAATGGACAACTCTGAACGCTGTCTACGGTTTCTAGGAAAACAAAGGTTAAAGGGATAAGCAGGGTTAAGCTAACTTGCAACTATACAAAGAAGACAATGTGGCACACACAGCTGATTTCTGTTTTGTTTTTTTTTTGTTTTGTTTTGGAAACAGGGTTTCTCTGTAGCTTTGGAGGCTGTCCTGGCACTCGCTGGGTAGACCAGGCTGGCCTCGAACTCAGAGGGATCTGCCTGCCTGTGCCTCCCAAGTGCTGGGATTAAAGGTGTGAGCCACCAATGCCTGGCTTGTGTTTTTGTTGTTGTTTGTTTCTACAGGAGAGAATATGAGTGCAATCCCCACTACCACAAATCGTGCAGTCAGTTTTGCATTTGGGGAAACCAGAGGGATCGGCACACCCAGGGGCAATGTATGATAAGCCTTGCCCTGGAAAAACCAACTTTGTGATTTCGGGGTCTCCCCTGTAAGGCAAGGTCCGATTTCTGTTTGTACTGCCATAAACAACTTGGCAAACTTTAAATGTAGAATAGACACATTTACAATTTTACAGTAACCCTGAAAAGGCAGGAAACTTCAAATGAATTCAAGAGTTGAGAAAAAAGCTACTTGGGATGCTGGAGCATCAGGACCACAGGTTCAAGACCCACTGTGGACGCTAAGTTCTGCATCAGCAGTCACTGCCAAGCTAAGCAACTGAGTGAAACTGCCTCAGACAGACAGACTGACAGAGCTCAGCCCTGCTCACTGCACTTGCCAGGTACCTGGCTAAACCCACACACCCTGGACTCCCAGAGCAAATACTTCATGATCTTTTCACATTGCTTGTATACAGCATTTAAATCCCTATTTCCTCCAAAGCGGGCTCTCTTCTCTTAACTACTCTAACCCATTCTCACCAACTAAACATCAACGTAGTGTGCTTCGTCTAGGAGAGGCACACAAAGTTAACACACTGCTGAAAACAAATTCACAACCACAGACAATTTATTTACTTTTGAGGCATTTTCCAAATACTAGGCAGATGGGGAAAAAGAAAGAGCATATGGAAAATATTTCATTTGAGGGATATACAACACAAAACGAAGAACCACGATTTCAAATCAAAACTGAAAATGCTTGTGTGAGACATTCCTGTGCTGCTCAGGAATGAGAACATGAGCATCAACTGAAAGGTCGGATTGCCAAACCCTGACTTAAACAGCAGATGCTCAGAACCCAACAATACGTCACAGTGTTCCAGAAAACTAGGAACTTGGTTCAGGACACTGGAACTCAGATCCACTTGGCACACCTTACAGCGCCCGGTCACACATGATAAGAAGCAACTCAGCTATGTCGCCACCACCAGAGAAGTGGTTTGCTTAGAGCAAGCTCCCTGGGGTTTTGCTTTAGAGTAGGTGTGTTCCATACCAGAGTAACAGGCTGTATTTGGTTTCTGGTTTTGCTTTTTCGAGACAGGATTTCTCTGTGGCTTTGGAGACTGTCCTGGGAACTAGGTCTTGTAGACAGGCTGGTCTCGAACTCACAGAGATCTGCCTGCCCCTGCCTTCAGAATGCTGGGAGTAAAGGTGTGCGTCACCAACGCCCAGCTGGCTTTGCTTTTTCGAGGCACACACTCTTGCTGTGTATTCAAAGCCACCCTCAAAGTCATGGCAATCCTCCTGCCTTAGCTTCCTGAATTGTAGGATTGCAGGTGCAATCACCACATGGAGCTGGTAGAGGGCAGGATTAAGATACCATTGTAATGTTAACTGAAAGTGATACTCAATTCAGTAGTAAAAAGAGTATGAAAACATAAAATGAGTAATCCTATCTGTCCTCTGGGACAGGCATGTATTGTTTTCGTAAGGTGCACTTCTGAATACCTTCGGGCTCTTCGTTCTTGGGGGCGCTGCTCTCCTTTAAGTCCTCTTCCATTCTTTCCTGTGCTAACTTTTTGGCCTCTTGCTTCTGGATCTTCCTCTTCAATTTTTTGTCTTCTTTGAGTCTTAACTTCTCTAGGCTGATAGACATTTACAGTCAGTGACAATTTGTCTTTGATATAAAATAGGTTAAGGCGTTTTTTAAAAATTAGAACCTATTCTCCTACGATTTCTGTTCAACACAAAAACCTATTGATCTATAACATCAGTTCAGTCAAAATAAGGAAGTTATTTTATGAAAGCAAGCACCTCAATAAATAAGTGATATCTAAGGATGCAGCAAATATAACCCTATGGGTGCTATGTCCAGGTATACAGACAATGGCTTGGTCAGTAACAAGTAGTCCGCAAGATGACAAATGTAACTTTTCATTTCAAAGTCGTATCTCCTAATAAACCAATAAGGCCCTACCTACCACATGATAAATCGGTGGTTACAGTGAAATATTTCCAACAAATAATTACGTTTATCTTTTCTTTTGTTTTTCTTGGTCACAAATAATACAAATAAAAGAGAGAAGAATCACTTTTTAGAATAAAAGGCAAGAAGCAGGACCAAAAAGAAAAGAAAAAAGGACTAGAATTATTTGGTCTGAACAAAGATGCACAGAGATAAATAGTTTAGACAATACACTGAGAATTTCAAGGTAAGAACTAGCTATTGGCTCAAAATGTTTGCTGAAGAGATGAAAAACTTTTTAAATGCCTTGGAATTAAACCTAAAACAACCAAGAATGAATAGACCATTTCTACCTAAGTGCCAAATGTGTTAACAAATATAACATCACAACATGAAATGTAGTTTTACTTATAAACCACTAATTTTTTTTGGTCAAGATTTTAGTATTTAAAATTTTAGTATTTAGGCTAGTTCATTTTAGTTTTAAATATGTACAAAATAATTTTCAATATTTATTTTGTGTGCAACTTTAAAAAATTTCATAATCTATATATTTGCATTTGACATAATTATACTCTGCAAGACATCATGAAACTATTGTGTGATGTGAAAAATCTTACCTGGAACATTTCTGTTTCAGAACAGGTCTTGAAGGAACCTTTTCTTTTGTGACCTTATGTTCAAACTTTAAAGAAAACAGAGACAAGATTGTTCTCACACTTACATGACACAGGGTACCAAAGCACAGAAACAAGTGTCTCAGAACCACAGTCAGTGCTCACCAACAGCGGTGCTGACACAAGCACACAGTCAGTGCTCACCAACAGCGGTGCTGACACAAGCACACAGTCAGTGCTCAGACAGCGGTGCTGACACAAGCACACAGTCAGTGCTCAGACAGCGGTGCTGACACAAGCACACAGTCAGTGCTCAGACAGCGGTGCTGACACAAGCACACAGTCAGTGCTCAGACAGCGGTGCTGACACAAGCACACAGTCAGTGCTCACCAACAGCAGTGCTGACACAAGCACACAGTCAGTGCTCACCAACAGCAGTGCTGACACAAGCACACAGTCAGTGCTCACCAACAGCGGTGCTGACACAAGCACACAGTCAGTGCTCAGACAGCGGTGCTGACACAAGCACACAGTCAGTGCTCACCAACAGCGGTGCTGACACAAGCACACAGTCAGTGCTCACCGAGAGTGGTGCTGACACAAGCACACAGTCAGTGCTCACCGAGAGTGGTGCTGACACAAGCACACAGTCAGTGCTCACCGAGAGTGGTGCTGACACAAGCACACAGTCAGTGCTCACCAACAGCGGTGCTGACACAAGCACACAGTCAGTGCTCACCGAGAGTGGTGCTGACACAAGCACACAGTCAGTGCTCACCGAGAGTGGTGCTGACACAAGCACACAGTCAGTGCTCACCGAGAGTGGTGCTGACACAAGCACACAGTCAGTGCTCACCGAGAGTGGTGCTGACACAAGCACACAGTCAGTGCTCACCAACAGCGGTGCTGACACAAGCACACAGTCAGTGCTCAGACAGCGGTGCTGACACAAGCACACAGTCAGTGCTCACCAACAGCGGTGCTGACACAAGCACACAGTCAGTGCTCACCGAGAGTGGTGCTGACACAAGCACACAGTCAGTGCTCACCGAGAGTGGTGCTGACACAAGCACACAGTCAGTGCTCACCGAGAGTGGTGCTGACACAAGCACACAGTCAGTGCTCACCAACAGCGGTGCTGACACAAGCACACAGTCAGTGCTCAGACAGCGGTGCTGACACAAGCACACAGTCAGTGCTCACCAACAGCGGTGCTGACACAAGCACACAGTCAGTGCTCACCAACAGCGGTGCTGACACAAGCACACAGTCAGTGCTCACCAACAGCGGTGCTGACACAAGCACACAGTCAGTGCTCACCGAGAGTGGTGCTGACACAAGCACACAGTCAGTGCTCACCGAGAGTGGTGCTGACACAAGCACACAGTCAGTGCTCACCGAGAGTGGTGCTGACACAAGCACACAGTCAGTGCTCACCAACAGCAGTGCTGACACAAGCACACAGTCAGTGCTCAGACAGCGGTGCTGACACAAGCACACAGTCAGTGCTCACCAACAGCAGTGCTGACACAAGCACACAGTCAGTGCTCACCAAGAGTGGTGCTGACACAAGCACACAGTCAGTGCTCAGACAGCTGTGCTGACACAAGCACACAGTCAGTGCTCAGACAGCGGTGCTGACACAAGCACACAGTCAGTGCTCACCAACAGCAGTGCTGACACAAGCACACAGTCAGTGCTCACCAAGAGTGGTGCTGACACAAGCACACAGTCAGTGCTCAGACAGCTGTGCTGACACAAGCACACAGTCAGTGCTCAGACAGCGGTGCTGACACAAGAACACAGTCAGTGCTCAGACAGTGGTGCTGACACAAGCACACAGTCAGTGCTCACCAACAGCAGTGCTGACACAAGCACACAGTCAGTGCTCACCAAGAGTGGTGCTGACACAAGCACACAGTCAGTGCTCAGACAGCTGTGCTGACACAAGCACACAGTCAGTGCTCAGACAGCGGTGCTGACACAAGAACACAGTCAGTGCTCAGACAGTGGTGCTGACACAAGCACACAGTCAGTGCTCAGAAAGCTGCTGCCAAGAAACTCAGTAGAAAGGGAACAGGAGACACTTTAAGAAGAAGTTTTAGAAAATTACAAGCAAGCAGAAAATCCAATAAGCTATAATTGTTTCACAACCACTCACCGATGTTATCCCCAGGTTGCAAAGTTCAAAATAACCCAAGGCACTCTCCCTGGTGCCTAAAAGCCCACATCCTACTCATACCCCAAAAGTTTGAAGGACTTAAAAAATATAATCAAAGGGCGAAAACAATAGAACTAAAATGTAAACCCCTCCTCCCAGTAAGTATCAACAACGAGGAACGCCTCACTGCAATGCACACCACAACATCCCTGTGTTCTCCAACACAGGGTCCACACTACACAACTCCACACATTCAAGCCATGATTGCACAAGGTGTAATAATGATACTTACTTCACATTTAACTTGACCACCACTGCTAAAGATGATAATCTTAGAAATGATTCCCTCACAGTCAGGCGTGAGACAAATTCCTTGTAGAAAATCCTTTTAAAAGAAGAAGGTCATGTCTCAGTGGATGAGCCAGTCCATGTGCACCATTGTACCCACAAAGACTCGCTAGGACAGGTACAGCCCCCTTCAGCAGCTCTGCGTCCCATACAGAGTGCACTTCTGACCACATGACTCTCGTTGGTCAAACCAAAGTGAGCGTACACAGTGTGATCCACATCTAAGCAGCAGCTCAGTCCTTGCATGGACTGGCATTGCCCTTCCCTTCTGACACAGGACATGTCCCAGGAAAGGACACTCTTTAACTTGCTTTCAGAGACAGAGAACGTGGCACGGGGAACAGAGTGGCCACCGCTTGGCCCCGATCGACAACTGAAAACTTTAAAGTCTATAATCAGGAGATGAATTTCTCACTGCAAGACAGAGCAACCCAAAGAGCTGAGGTGGGCATCTACAAGTCTGGAACTGTTTAAGAAGACTAAAGGGAGCTGGACAAGCAGAGAGCGCACACTGGTAAGAAAGAGCAGAAGGCGACAACGGAGGCTGAGTCACAGCATTCTCTCCAGCTATGTAAAAGTCTGTCTCTCCCCAATGAGTAATTCCTGCTGCGAACTTACAACAGTCTCTCCGGCCCCCAAAAAGGTTTCCTTTGGCTAAACCCATACAGACAATACATGTATTTTATGAATGCAAATTAAACAATAAAATTATACCTTCTTCCAAAGTGTTCTTGATAACTGGAAGCCCCCCCCCAGAAAAATAACATAAATTTTAACTTAGTTTCTTAAATTGTTCATCAATACTTTCTGATGACAATCTCTAGAAAACTAATACCGTAGAGCACAGTTTAAAATATGGATGTTAAAACGAAGCACTGAAACATTTACTTTTGATAACAATGGTCAAAATGCAAAAGTAATTGCTTTTATAGTCACAGAAAACATAGACACACTGCTTTCCTACCTTGTTACTGATCTCATGTAAAACATCCTCATGCTGGCTGTAATGCCCAGGAAGGAATATACACTTGGTAAAGACTTAAAAAAGAATTAAGGTGGGTGGAGGAATCAATATACAAGCATAACACATAAATACAAAAGTCTAACCTCATGCCTTACCTTGTCAATTTTATCGTTAAAAGTTGTTGTCTTTAACTTTTTCCAGCAGTTCATGTGAAATTCCACCTTACAGTATTGGCAACAGCTGATGCGTATGAAACCCTGGGATTAAAGAACAAACAAGCAATACACAGGCATTTAAACATGTCTATACTAGCAGATTTATTTATTTATGTTTTTTCAAGAGAGGATTTCTCTGTATTACTTTGGAGGCTGTCCTGAAACTCAAGCTGTAGACCAGGCTGGCCTCGAATTCACTGAGATCTGTCTGCCTCTGCTTCCTGAGTGCTGGGATTTCAACACCCCATGCCCAGCACATTTATAATAGCATGCACTGTAATAACTAGAGATCTTATATAACTAGGCTTGATATTTTCTTATGGAGTGATACAGCACTGAAGAACTTGACAGTTTCACTTTCTTTTTTTTTTTTGGTATTTATGAGACAGGGTTTCTCTGTATTGTTTTGGAGGCTGTCGGTCCAGACAGTTTCACTTTTACAGTGTTGAACAAACATCATTCCTCTGACCTACTAGCTGGATGCAGCAGGACAGTGGGCAGGCGCTACCTTCTTAAGTAAACCAATAATTTAATCATTTAGTTAGCTGACAGATTTGCCTTAATTTAGGTCTTTAAGGGATAATTCAGAATTCAATGGCCTTTAAATTCTCATATTCAAATTTTACGAGTATTTAAAATACAAGTCAGAGGAAACAATCATTTTACTTTCCAAGATTCAGTGGCTAGAAGAGAAAATGCAGCCTGAGCCCAATTTCTCGGGCCACCAACTCAATCCATGACATTTACTTTGGTTGCTTTGGGTTTCCATGTAAAATAGCAAAGATATAAAGAAGTCTACAGAAATGGGAAGGAAGAGGACATAAAAACTGCTATCAAGCCAGAGAACCTGGGATCCTCTATTCACAGAATCCATTCTGAATTAATTCTGAGATGGTTTTGCAACATAGTAAGTTCATTACCTACCTTAAAGTCGGGATCAGTCAGGTAAATCTGAATTTTGGAATATCCACGGCATTTCGGGTAGCAGCAAACAGCATCTGGCACTGGGGGAAACTTGCATTCTTCAACAAACTTCTCCAGCATCGTCTAAAAGAAAATGTGGGGAAAGTGATAAATACTGTCACAACACTAATGTTTCAACAAACATGCTAGTGATTTCAAGAACCTCTGCCATCAAACATGGTCCTTTCCAAGAACAAACTATAAACGATTGCTAAGTTTTTTTCTTTAAGGAAAGTCAAAATAGGTTTGGGGGGAAAATTATCTTTACAATTTTGTAGCATCCAAATTTTATACTGATGTAACTATGACACCTCAGTTCCCACTTTACAGTACTGGGAAACGTCATCCAAGGACTCAAGGAAGCTAGAGTGGACCTTAACCTCGTGCTCCTCACTTAGACCCTCCCAACTCCATCTTTCCCACGTGTGAAATGGGAGTGGTCATGATCCTCTATCACAGGACTGCTTTAGGAAAACTAACAACAAAAAGAAGGTACGAGACTAGGAACATTCAACGCATTCAGCGATCTGCATTCAGAGGTGTGGATGGAGCAATGCTACTTATATCCTCTACACAGATGGGCTCTCACAGCCGGGATGAAATGCTTGAACAGTTACCTTGATTTTTTCTGGCTTAGATTCCTCAATAATCACATTACTTGTGGGCCAAGTCAGAATTCCAGGGAGACGATAAACCAAGGTCTTTGCCTTTTCAAAGTGATTAAGAGCTTCAAGAAATCTAAAGTCATAATTGGGAAGAAAGAAAATATCAGAGATCTGATATAACATTTTACTCCACAGTAGCATTCACCAAGATCTCAAACCTACTAGAAAGACCACACATGATAAATCAATAGACATAAATATTCAATGTAATAGATTTTCTTTTTAGAAACTAAGACATTTAATCCCAGGCTAGGGAGGCAGAGACAGGCGGATCTCTGTGACTTTGAGGTCAGCCTGGTCTACAGAGCAAGTTCCGGGACAGCCAGGGCTATTATAGAGAAACCCTGTTTCAAACAAACAAACAAACAAACTTCAAAAAACAAAACAAACAAGCAAACAAAACCTAAGACATAGCTGCTACTTCCTGCTGCAGTAATGTAAGTGAAGCACATCTCTGTCCTGGAATGCCCTTCATACCTGATCCCAGCCAGACAGTAACTAGAAATGAAAAGAACTTTTTTGTCTTAAAAAATATGCATAGAAGTTGTGGACACATGCTAAGATAGAGAGCTCAAGACTATCACAGAACTTCCTCTAAAAAGTAAAGGACTTAAGGTTAACTGGGCATTATGAAGGGTTACTTTTTTTTTTTTTCCTATAAAATAACCTAATACACCCACCACTCTGACTGCAAGGATTCGAACACACTGGTCTTCAATCCTAAGCCATTACAGTCAACTTAGGAAGACAAGACTGGAAGACAGGAGACATCTAGAGAACAGCTACCTAGCAAACTTAAGAGCAAGCACACCGCTACAGAGAGGTTCAGAGAGCGGCTCTAGTGCTTAACCGTAGTCCCCGAGGGTGCTTCTTTTCCCATTCCCTCAGCCTCCTCAGTAAATCAGCGTATGACAGCAAACCCACCCCGGGATCTGGGTAAACACCAGGCCAAGTGTGTGCCGCACTATGATTGCGGGGCTTTGATGAAAGTGGCCCCCGCAGGCTCACGGGGAGAGGCAATACCATGAGGGATGGCCTTACTGGAGTAGGTCTGGAGTTGTGTTACCGGGGGCAGGCTCTGAGGTCTCAGAGGCTCAAGCCATACCCAGTGTGGCTCTCTCTTCCTGCTGCCTGCAGATGCAGATGTAGAACTCTCAGCTCCCTGTGTAGTACCGTGTCTGCCCGCCTGAGTGTCACTGTACTTCCTGCCATGACGGACTGAACCCCTGGAACTGTCAGCCACCCCCAATTAAGTGTTTTACTTTATAAGAGTTGCCGTGTCTGTAACAAGTTGCTTGGGTATGAATGTACGTGGGTTCTTGGGATAATTTGTTTTTCACCTGTAATATGTAAAATGTTTAACCATGTAAGGGACATGGAAAATACGCTGTTGTTGTTTTTGTTTCTTTGGTTTTTTTTTTTTTTTTTTACTGTTTGATTTGTACTGATTGTAATCATTCCCTTGAAAAACAGAATGCAACTGCATTGTAATTTTTTATTGCCTGGAAGATTTTGCTGGGGTATATAAGAAAAAGAATAAAGATAGAGTTAGAAGGAAACTGTCAAGAACGAGAGAAGGAAATCGCCAGGAAAATAATAGAGAATACAAAAGAAGAAAGAAAAAGTCTGAAAGAATCCATTGAGATAAGTGTGTGTCTTTTTCGGTAACTCGTCAGATAGAAGAGTTATAGTACCTGTCAATTCAATGGCTTACCCTTGAGCCACGCACTACTGAGGACTGGCTCCCAGATAGCAGCAAATATCAATGTGAACACAGAGGAAGACACCACCATCAATCTCTATCCTACACGTATGCTCACCTAATGCTCACGTATGCTCACCTAAAAACCCACAATCCCCCATCCCTTCTATAAAATGAATTAATCACCAACCTGTAGCTCACCGTGGTTTCTACTAACCTGTTTTTCTTCAAATATACTTTTCCTATTCCACAGTAGGCCAAGCAGTCAAGCCCCTCATTGGGATAGTGTTCGATAATCCTTTTAAACTGGTTTTCAGCTTCAGATAGCTCCTTCAAAAACAGGGAGAACGGTTACTTATGTGAGAGAAATGGGTAAACAGAGTATCTCAAAGATGATGCTTGCCTAATGTCTTAAAACAAAACAAAACAAAAACCCTGTGTCAAAAAGTAGCTATTGCAAAACTTTCCCTTTTATAATTCATTTTCATAATTATGACTTTGGTAATTTTCTGATTCACGTGCCACCCATGGAAATGCAGATAGCATCAAAGCTAATCCTGCTGACAGCAGACTGCCAGATGAAAACATTTACTCAGATGCACAGACTGCTGTCAACACAAACAGTATGGACTCATGGTTTGTGTACAGATACACCACAGCACACATGGTAGCGCACTATTCCCTAGAAGACTTGCCATTCCGGTGACACTGCCATGAAGCTTTATGGAATCAAGAGAGCACTGTGTTAAACTTAACAGAACCTGGAGAACATTCTTAGCATCCTCACAAGGGGAATCTCTGCTTTAGATAAAGTCTGTTGTTGAAACACAAAAACCAAAGAAACTAGCTGAGGTAACGCAACCACACTGAGTGAAGAGAAGTGGGGGTGGGCAGGGCTTCTGAGTTGCTTGGAGGCATGGTTCTCCAAGAAGGCTTGAACGCAAAGCTGCACATGGGCGTCCTGAGGAGATGCTGGGCAGGGTTGTGTGAGGAGTTAACGGACAAGCGTGTGTGCGCAATAAATACAATCAAAATACATTGTACACAAGCCTAAAAATTCTAAAGAATTAAAATTATTACATTTACATTTCTGTAGAGAAAAAAGAGGAATACTACCCTGGTGAGATTTTTTTGAATGTGTAAGTTCTACTAACACAGTTGCAATAAAACTATTTCTTCAATTTTGTTAAAGCAAAACATGATAATCTACCATGATACAGTTAAAAATACAAAGTCTTATCTCCAACTATGTATTAAAAAAAATGGAATCAGACAGGCATTAATGGAAGACAATCCTGCTGTCAGTCTCATTGCAAACAAGGAAAAGGACCCCAGGCACCATGAACCCTTGCAAGTGAATCCTACATTATATTTTAATTGAGTGGGAATTTAAGCTTGCATGTAGCTAGGGAAGCGTAGAGCCCAGGTTGGCAGAAAGGGCGTACTACATGAGCATGTTTTATATTTGACATCACTCTTATAGGCATGTCCTATCTACAGCATGCAGGGCCACATGCAAACAAGGACAGCTATAAATACAGTCAAATACAAAACTACAGTTACCAACACATTTTTTCCCCAACACACTCTTTCAAACTCAATTTCATACTGCAATGTCAAAAAAGTTGAACACATCTGCAAGCATTTCAGCTTTCAGAGAAGAAAAGACTCTAAGACCAAGTAACACTCTAAGCAAGCATCCCAGGAACCCATAGAAGGTATGAAAGCCATGTGATCCCAGGGAGTCACACCCAAACCTTAGGTGCAGCTCAAGAAGTCAGGCCCTCGCCATCATTCTCACTTGTGATTCTCTAGTGAGGCATCACCCTGTAACACTAACACGTCCTTCCTAGCCTCCCCAGGCCCACCCCACCTTCTATCACTACACACAATAGTACTTGGTGTGATCTGGCCATGTTCTGGGGTACTTTCACTATTACAGTCTGAGTACTAAGGAAGCTGCATTGCCGTTTACAACACCATACATAACAACAGAGACACAATGATACCCTTGCCCTAGACAATATTTTTCTGAAATCTACGTATCTTGATATGCTAAACTTCACTTCTGTGTACATACAATAGACTCCTAGCAACTGCCAAGTATAGACTTTTGTTACTAGGATTGATTTCTTTTTTGGAGACAAGGTCTTGGTCCATGCAGTTTTCAAACTTATACCTCTGCTGGTTTTGCCCCCAGTACCGGGATTACAGGCACGAATCACCACCCTGCCAAACTTTCCCCTAAAACAAATCATCCAGCAGTTTACACTCAGTTCAGAAGCAGGAGGAGGACAGTGACAAGCAAGGCTGATGCCAAACTAGGCGGAGAGCGAGACCCTGTCTAAGGCCTCAGCCCAAAGCACTTATGTTAAACTCGGTGGTTTCAGGCTTTCAAGAAAGAAATGAGCCAAACAGGAACACAGTTTCTAAATATCTTCCACAACTAATGTCATATTTCAGTTGTTTATCTCTGTTAAAAGCTTACCTCAGGTCGTCCTATTCCAAGGAGAGAAACAGCAAGTCCATAGACTACTAATACATAATTAATCATGGCCAGGTTCAATTGCTGTCAATAAAAATGCACTGGTTAATAACCTGAACATAACCCTGTCCACTCTGCATTAGAGTAACTTTCTAGCTACAACAGGAGCAAGACATCTAACTGACAGAACAAATAAATCAGAGATACATTTTGCAAAAGAAGCTGTCCCATGGTGTGTAGCTATTTATCACAGAGACTGTCTCTGAGCATCATGAGGCACAGCTCACAATCGATTAGAAAAGCTTGCCTTCTTTTGCATTTAACGGGGCCTAGACACAGACTGAGGTGTCACCTCGTTTAAGAATAAAAGGAGTCCAAATCCTTAACCTGTCAAAGGCCGGGGCTTCTAATAGACCTGAGCAATGGTCAGGAGTGAACCCCCACATGGCCCACACTAACTGGGAGCACTACCTGCTCCCCACACCAGGACAGCCACGTGACCTCACAGGCCCATCTAGGGGGATTACAGGAGTCACATGACCTCACAGGCCCATCTAGGGGGATTACAGGAGTCACATGACCTCACAGGCCCATCTAGGGGGATTACAGGAGTCACATGACCTCACAGGCCCATCTAGGGGGGATTACAGGAGTCACCTGACCTCACAGGCCCATCTAGGGGGGATTACAGGAGCCACGTGACCTCACAGGCCCATCTAGGGGGATTACAGGAGTCACATGACCTCACAGGCCCATCTAGGGGGATTACAGGAGTCACGTGACCTCACAGGCCCATCTAGGGGGATTACAGGAGTCACGTGACCTCACAGGCCCATCTAGGGGGCATTACAGGAACAGTCACATGACCTCACAGGCCCATCTAGGGGGCATTACAGGAGGAGTCAGCCGACCTCACAGGCCCATCTAGGGGGCATTACAGGAATAGTCACGTGACTTCACAGGCCCATCTAGGGGGCATTACAGGAACAGTCACATGACTTCACAGGCCCATCTAGGGGGCCTTACAGGAGGAGTCAGCCGACCTCACAGGCCCATCTAGGGGGCATTACAGGAGGAGTCAGCCGACCTCACAGGCCCATCTAGGGGGCATTACAGGAACAGTCACATGACTTCACAGGCCCATCTAGGGGGCATTACAGGAGGAGTCAGCCGACCTCACAGGCCCATCTAGGGGGCATTACAGGAACAGTCACATGACTTCACAGGCCCATCTAGGGGGCCTTACAGGAGGAGTCAGCCGACCTCACAGGCCCATCTAGGGGGCATTACAGGAGTCACGTGACCTCACAGGCCCATCTAGGGGGCACTACAGGAGGAGTCAGCCGACCTCACAGGTCCATCTAGGGGGCACTACAGGAGGAGTCAGCCGACCTCACAGGTCCATCTAGGGGGCCTTACAGGAGGAGTCAGCCGACCTCACAGGCCCATCTAGGGGGCATTACAGGAGTCACGTGACCTCACAGGTCCATCTAGGGGGCATTACAGGAGGAGTCAGCCGACCTCACAGGCCCATCTAGGGGGCATTACAGGAGGAGTCACGTGACCTCACAGGCCCATCTAGGGGGCACTACAGGAGGAGTCAGCCGACCTCACAGGCCCATCTAGGGGGCATTACAGGAGCAGTCACATGACTTCACAGGTCTAGGGCATGTTACAGACGCTAAAGCCAGGTCCTCTTCTAAACCCATGGGAGGTGCGGCACTCCATCAAACTCACCCGTATCTTCTGCGGATCTAGCCCATTTAGTAACTCCGTGAAGGCCTGGGCCGCGCTGCGGCAGCGCTGCTCTAACAAGGCTGTGTACCCATCCTGAATTAAGCTTCTCAACATTTTCATGATGTTAGCAAAATCCTGGAAAAAAATCAGTAGTCCAAATCTATGACTTGTTGGTTTCAAACTGAAGACGGTAAGTTGCTCAGTAACAAGAAAGATCTTCAAAAGATGAATTAGCACCATTTATTTTGTGTGGGTGAGAGCACCTGTCAGAACACCCACTGGGTGACCACTGACGTTTCATAAACGACGGCAAACACCTAAGCTGCCCCCTTACCATGAAATGCCTTTCTCAGCAATACGCTTACAAGGCTCTGCGTCAGCACATTCACCCTGTGCCACCGTCCAAGAAAGAGAGGCTCATTTTAGTAGATCTTATTTCTTTTCCCAGACCCAGCACAGGATTTGAGTTTTAACAATTTCTACAGGTGAGTTTTGCAGCTGGGACTAAAACAATTAGAACAAGGAGTCTGTGTACTGACCACTCTCAGAATTTTAGCAACTGTCACCTTGCCCTGAAACCAAACCTTAAGTTTAAGTAAAAGATAGCTATTTCAAGTTTTAGCTCCAGTCATGTTCAACATTTATTTAAATATAACCAGCAAAACTATTAGGATGTTTATCAGTAAGTTAAACTCAAGGAAAGACAAAGAAAAAACCAGCACTAAAGGTATCGGTACTTTTATGCCTTTTGTCCCGTAGAGTGGAGGGGAAGGTCACAGTGAGCCGCACATGAGTAAACCAGTCAGTGGGAGAGAAAAGACAAGTTCCTGGTGGCAATGTCACAAAGATCCCACTGGAGACACCTTGACACAAGAGCAAAAGTTGCCTGATTTCTACCAGAAATACTAAGTATCTAAGGGAATCTCCTCTCAAAATACCAAGGAAGAGTGGTCTTTTGTATACACTTGGTATTTGTTAGAGTATTTAAGATACAATGTGAAACTGTGTTTACTTTTAAGACATGAACTTAACAGTATGAAACATGATGTTCTCCCCAAAATATCCATTATTGACTTTGTAGGAATTGATCCAATTTTAACTGCTTTGTTACCTGAGAAAACAGATCAATAGAGCAAGACAATTTTATCCAAAATGAATTCCCTCAATACAGCCCACCTTGGATTCCCCTGCACTGCACACGCCCAATGAGCAGGCTGAACCTTCTTACCACAGATCCAGTTTTCTCATCTAGGAAAGGGCTCTAATATACACAAGTCTGCTTCAAGTACTTCATGTTTTCTAGACTTAGTAAAATCAATCAACACATAACTAAAATCTGTTAGAAGTTCTAAACAATTAGAAATCTGTTTCAGTCATATAAAATTTGTTATGTGTATCTAAAATAACAGGGTTTTCAAATTGACCCCCATATTTAGAAAAAACATCCTTAACCATGCTAATATGCCATTATTAAATACTTAAATATTTGAAGTTAGCATTATTATTAAATCTTAGGGAAACAACTTACTCTCTCTACCAAAAGGAAAAAAAAAGCCTTCTCTATTACCTGGTGAGCAGCTCTAGAAGATTTTGAAAACTGTTTCTCCAAAATGGTTTTCAGATCTACTGGTAAAGTCACTTGTGCATTAGAACTGAAGGAGGAAAAAAGTATACACTGTAAAACAGTGCCAAAATAAAGCAGTACTACTTACATAAAGAAAAAAGTATATTACATAAAGAAGAAAGTATATTTACGACACTTACTTCAAATATTGAGTAAACAGATAATGACCGAAGTTCCTGAACAGAAATATTACCAACATGCTGATTCCGCCCCGAATTATAACTGTAAAACCAATGTGGTCGCCATTAAAATCCCTATAAAATTAGAGAAAAAACAAACCTGGGCTTTTCTGATTCATTGTTTCGTGATTTTTGTTTTCCTTTATGTTTTGGAGGCTGACCTGCGAACATAAAAGTATTTGTTCCTGAAACCTGTACATAAAACCTCCAAGACCAGGAGTAAAAAAAATAAAAGTGCATGTTAACTGGACTGCAAAGAAACAAAACAATAAACCCAAAACAACAACAAAAAATAAGTAAATTGGAATAAAGGAATCAAAGAAACAACTGTGTCTGTGAATGCAACTTCAAATAACTCAAGACAAGCTACTGCTGGTCCTGGGCTGTAAGAGTACATGAAAGTTGTGACAGCTGTCATCTGGGTCTAGGCAGAGGGACATGGGCGACAGTCCTGCTCTCAGGGAGTTTACAGTAGACTGGAAGAAACACAAGTCACTTTAGTAACAAGTCATTACCACGCCCCCAAAAAAGACACTTAAGTTGCCGTTGATATATTAACTCCATAGTCAATAATTCCTCTCTAATTCACAGAAGGGAGATGATAATCACTTTAGCCAGAGTATTTTGGAAAAGCAGTTTGGTTTTGAAGAAAAAGAAGGATATGGAAAAACTACTCAACCTAAGACTGGCGTTCATTTCAGAAATACTGTATAATATGTCATCCAAAGAGCTCCAAAAATGGGTACAAAGGTAAGTTACAGACCTTCACTGCAGACAGCCCGATCTCTTTAGGAGTCAGGGAAGTGACATCCTCAAAGCTGTGTTAGAGTTGGCAAGAGGGACAGGGCGTATGTGACAGAAGGCTGGGGAGATAGGGACAAGCACAGCAGATAAACAGAACACAGCTCTGATGTCCTCAAACATAAAAGCTTCTGGAAAGGCAGAATTCTGCTTTGATTTTCTTAATGCTCAGATTTGTTTTTTATGTTATTTGTATGGTGTTCTGCCTGCGTGGGTGCACAGCGTGTGTCTGCTGCCAGTGGCACTCAGAAGGGTGTTGCAGCTCCCAGAACTGGTGTTACCGATGGTCATGAACTTCCATGGGGGTGCTGGGAACTTGATTTCTGCTGTGTGAGCATGGATAAAGCTAGGAAACTAATTCTGGAACCTAAAGTTCTTTGCCTGAATATAAATGCTGATGGATGGACAAGGCTAAAATTATTTACATGTGCTACCTGATAGTACCGTTTTTAAAAACTTTTAAAGTGGCCGGGTGTTGGTGGCACAGGCCTCTAATCCTAGCACTCGGGAGGCAGAGGCAGGCAGATCTCTGTGAGTTCGAGGCCAGCCTGGTCTACAGAGCGAGTTCCAGGACAGTCTCCAAAACAATACAGAGAAACCCTGTCTTGAAAAACAAACAAGCAACAACAACAAAACTTTTAAAGTATTCTCCTTAAAGGTATTTCACATGCTAGTAGGTTACATTAGGTAAGAAAATGGCCTGCACTCCAAGAGTCTAAGTCTCACTGTCAGCCACATGCTAGTAGGTTGGTTACATTAGGTAAGAAAGTGGCCTGCACTCCAAGAGTCTAAGTCTCACTGTCAGCCACATGCTAGTAGGTTACATTAGGTAAGAAAGTGGCCTGCACTCCCAGAGTCTAAGTCTCACTGTCAGCCACATGCTAGTAGGTTCCATTAGGTAAGAAAGTGGCCTGCACCCCCAGAGTCTAAGTCTCACTGTCAGCCACATGCTAGTAGGTTACATTAGGTAAGAAAGTGGCCTGCACTCCCAGAGTCTAAGTCTCACTGTCAGCCACATGGAAACTCCTAGCACTATGTGGGAGAGCTGCAGGCAGGGAAGACAAAATGGCTGACAGGAGCCAAGCCACTGAGAAGGAGAGGCAGCAACAAGGGGGAGAGAAGAGGATGACTCGATGTCACTGCTGCAAGGCCAACAGTCTCAACTCCACAACCTGGAGGCAGCAGTGCCGACGACATCATGAGACGAGTAACTGCTGCGTGACACAGTGTGCAACCACCAAGAAAATCTGCATGTCCTTAGACTCAGTTGTAAAAAGCAGACGTGTGCACAGATCCACCGTAGAAGATCTTCACCAAAGTACAGTGCAGGAGGAGATCCACACGCACACGGCGCATGCACACTGACATCTCATCCACAGACAAGCACATGCGGTTAGCCCATACAACTGCTTTCACTCTCAGGGAACATGGCTCTGTGCCAGTCACTTAATGTTAGCGTGTAGACCCGTCAAGGGAGTGACCGGATCACGAGTGACTTCACGACTTTCTACAAGGTCCCGGACAGATGCCTCAGCCTTGCAGCGCCTGTGCAGACGATGAGAACACAGCCATCTATGAGCCATGGGAGGAGCTTCATTATACACTGACCATTTCTCAGCCCACAGAAATAAACTACCCAAGTTTGTGGAATGTTTGCTGCATTATTCCAAACGGAAAAACATCTTTTCTCAACAGGGTAAAATCATCCCTAAACAGAGTCAAAATTAGACGTTCTGATCTGAGAACAAACAACAGTACTTTTCATATAGAGAAGTCAGATCCCAGCTGGGTGATGGTGGTGCACCCTTTAATCCCAGCACTTGGGAGGCAGAGGTAGGCGATCTCTGAGAGTTCTAGGACAGCCTGGGCTATAAAGAAACCCCATCCGTCTTGAAGGAAAAAAAAAAAGACAGCTGCAAGCCTGGAATGGTGGCTCACTCCTGTGATCCCAGCATGTAAAAGGGGAGGCCAACCTCGGCTACAGACTGACCCCCGTCTCAAAAGTTAAAAGCAATTCCTGCGGTGTTAAATTTTATGAGGGAGGCCAATTAAGGAAAAAATACTTACAAAGGATTCCTGTTGTTAGAGAATAGTGAAAATTCTCAATAGTGAGAAACAATGGCCTAAAGGAAATTAAGGGGAGACAAGGAAGAGCAATGTGTTTTATATTTCTTTGGTTGGATTTACAAAATTAAACTTATTAAAAATATGAAAAAGCAAGAATTCATCTGAAATAACTATCCGCTGACCTCTTTCATTTGTTAGTGTGTTCATGTTCCCGTGTGTGGAGGTCAGCTTTCAGTTCTGGGCATCTTCGTCAATCACGCTCCACCATTTTCAAAGACAGGGTCTCTCCCTGAACCTGGCTCTCACAGGCTCGGCTAACCTGGCTAGCGAGTGATCTGAAGAGTCTTCTTCTCTCCACCTCCCAGTGGCAGGGTCACAGGCATGTGCTACCACCCCTGGCTCTTAGACAAGACTTTGGGGATCAAACTCAGGTCCTTATGAGTGTGTAACAATCACTTCACCAATGGTGATAGTTAACCTTGGTTGTCCGTCTAACTGCATTTGGAATCAACCTATAGACAAGGTATTAGGTATACTGGTAAAAGACGTTCTTGATCAGTGAGAATTCCCACCAACATTAGGATGCAGGAATCCTCAGGCCTTCGGCTGCAGGCTAGCACTGCTGAGGAACCGGCCTCATGTACTCTACTTAGCCTCTCCAGTGTGAAGACAGATGTTGGGATATCCAGATCACATCGTGTAGCTCAATGTAATAATAAATCCCATTGGCATATATTCATTCCATTCCACTCTGTTCCTCTGGGGAACTTTGTATACTAACCTCAATGCTGTCTTTTCTTTTATAGATTTATTTCACATGTATGAGCGTCTTTCCTGCATGTTTGTATGTGACCATCTGAGTGTACCAATAGTGCCTGACCAAGGGCAGAAAAAGGTGCCTGAGCCCCTGGAACTGAAGTTACTAATGGGTGTTAGAATCAAATCTGAGTCCTCTACAAGTGCATCTGGAGCTCGTAACTGGTGGGTCTTCCCTGCCCTCAGTGCTTTCTGGAAACCAATGCTGCAGTTTAGTCTCACCAAGCTCCCAGCCGGCAGGATGGGAACTCTGTGAAGGCCTCACAGATGTGAGACCCAAGGAAAGGCCTTGATGTTGCTGTGGGTAATTAAGAGATGCTATGGGGTTCCAGCCTCATCTTCTCTCTCACGGCTTCCTGGTCTCTGGTCGTCACCATCCACAGCCTTCAGCAGAACGGAGCCAACATAAGCAGCATACTTGTGACCCCTCAGAATCTTGAGCCAAAGCAGACCTCTCTCACCTCACAGCTAAGCTGCCTCGGGCACTCACCTCACTACATCTCACTCCTCGAACATGGGCAGAGCACTAACTCCTCGGTATGAAATGTCACTCGCGTATCATCACATAAAAGAACAAGAGCACCCCCGAGTGAAGCTTGCACAAACTTTCAGCCATAGGCGTTTGGGTGGCAACATGAGTCAAAGATTACTCACTTGGAGGGGGCAGAAATTCAGGATGACAGTCACAATCATCTCCCTTCAAAGCCTCATCTGCCACCTGCCCGTGAAAATAAAACCAGTGAGATATTAAAAGCAACACGGCCGAAGTGTCAGCAGTTACGTAAGAAACAAGAGTTTAAACTGGAACATGACAGGATTCACTCGAGGACCTAGAATATGCAGCTGGTTATGAAGCCTAAATGTACAAACAAGCAAACACCATGGTAACTCAGAAATGAGAAATCAAGACAAATGTGACAATTCTTGAATGACAACCCTCTTTCTGATGCTTCGTGTGATGCCTGATGTATAAGCTGTTGAACAATGCCTATTCACGTCTCCCTCTAACTGAGTGAAATTCTCTATTATCCACAAAATGACTATATGGGATTCGGAAAAAGTCCCTTCTCTGCTTATCATCCATCCACCCAGTTGTGTCTCCCCCACCCCCCACCCTTACTCCCTTCCTCAAAATATAAATATGAATTCAGCTTTTCGAATACTATGAGTCTGAGAAATCTCAGACATACATCTAAGACATCTGATGACAGTCAGGCTAGAGGCCATGTGGTATCAGAAAAAAGAAAAATTAGACAAACACACTTGCCGAACACAGCACTGAGTTAAAGGCTGGGATCATGGCTGCCAAGGGCAACAAAAATGACAGATCTACCTTGGGCAAAGCAGCCCCTAGGAACCTGACCAAACCCGGGTGGTGGGTTGGCAGAACACCAATCAACCGAATATACTGCATACAAGAGAAAAGGAAAGACCAGAAAGAACCTCAATCACTGTGAGGAAAGAGCTGGGGAGACTCAGCTACTGGACTCTCCTGTCACTCTTCCCCAAGAGATGGCTGAGAGAAATGGAGGACACGCAGACAAAAGCAGGTGGCAAAACCGTATCAGGAACACCATTTTTAAGACACACCGCTGTAACTTCAGGGTAAGTCATGTGACATTTGAACACCGGCTTCATGTAGCTGTCTGAGGTGGCCTGAGGTGGAGGTGGGAGAATCTTTCCGATAGAGAAAAGGGCCCCGGGATGTCAGCCGCCAAAGCATCCCTGAAAAAAAGCGAGGCTGTTCAGACCTGGGATGGTCACAGGTTTTAGCCAAGCTCACCTTTAGATTCTGATTGCCACCATTTGCCATTTTGTACTTAGTTCTTCGGAAGCCTCTTTCTGTTTCCACAAAGTTAAGTGATGTTCTAAAAGCAGGTGCTGATGAATTCCTCGGAATGTAAGCCCTGGGGGTCAAAAACAACAAGGAACATCGTGTCATTCCTACAGTGACGCACAACTCGAGCAGCCCTCCAAACAAGCTGCAGCAGCATCACAGCCCTTGTGTCTCGAAAGCCAAGTGTCCATTCTCAGAAAACCCCCGCTGCTAGGGCAGGCTTTGCACGTCAACAGTGCTCTCAACCTGAGACTGAGCTACAACCACGACTGCCTCGCTCGAGACAGCGGCTCTGGTTCTAACAGGAAGCAACGAATCACCCTGTCCTAACAGCTTTGGTATCCAAGCATCTAAACAAGCCTTGGAAAAGCTTGATCTATTTCAATTTTATCACATTTCTTACTATTTTTAAATTCCCATACAGTGTATTTTGACCATACTCTTTCCCCTCCCGATCTATTTTAACTGCCAACAATTAAATGTAGAACCCTGGTTACTATTTCTTTACCCATAACCACGCTCAGTCTATCTGTAGCCTTCAAAAGACATTGGGAAGTGACAGGCACTGACTCTATCCCAAGGCTACTTGGCCAGGACCTGCATGGCCACACTGGCCCCATGCAAGTCAGGCAACTTTAAAATCTCATTTTATTCTTTTCCCCACATGTGTAGGCTATATATATTCAAAAAGCCCAGAAAAACAGCAGAATAGCGAACCCCCAAGTCATCAGTTTTAGGACAGGACTACAAACCATCTTGTGCACACACATGCAAGTGTGCGCCCCCCCCCACACCCACACCCACCAAGCATACAAAGCAAGCCTCTCTCCATTCCTAATGAAATGCCACTATGGGGCTGAGCACACAGCTCAGTGGTGTGCACTGCCTCGCATGTACAAGGCCCTAGGTTCGACGCCCAGACCACACATAAGAGTTGCTATTATTAGCCGGGCGTTGGTGGCGCACGCCTTTAATCCCAGCACTCGGGAGGCAGAGGCAGGCGGATCTCTGTGAGTTTGAGGCCAGCCTGGTCTACAAGAGCTAGTTCCAGGACAGCCTCCAAAGCCACAGAGAAACCCTGTCTCGAAAAACCAAAAAACAAAACAAAACAAAAAAAAGAAGTTGCTATTAGCTCTTAAATCGGCAGTGATTCTCAAAATTCATGGAAAAAAGTCTGTCAAGTAACAGCCACTGACCTGACGTTAACTCACCTGCTGTCATAAAACGCGTTAAGTGGATTCTTGTTTGAAGTCCGACCTATGAAAGCCAACCACGCACAGTAATCAGGGGACTGGCAGCACAGACATTAAAAATATTTTCATGTTTCTTTTAAGCTGATAGTTGAAAACATTAAAGTTGGAAAGCTGAAAAATAAATCCTAGCACTTTTATAATTCCAGATGCTTTTAACTTGAAGGTATCAACAAACTGCATGATCTTGTCAGATGCCCCGTTACATATCATCACTAGTAAGATGCCAGCAACACATAAATATGAACCAGGTCCTGCCTGTCTTCAAGGAGCTCACAATCTCAGAACTGCATTATGCTAGAGGATAACAGTTGCTGGATAAACGGAACTGCTCAGCTCAGCAAATACCAAAGGGAAAACATACCTGAAGAAAGGTCTACACGCTGCAAGTGGGACACAGGAATTTTAAGTATCAGAGAAAGAAAAATGAGCAAGGACAAGGACAGAAATTAGCAACTGTAAGTGAGAACTCAAAATTCCTAATCCGCACAGCTAATTTCTGATATAGATAGATAGATAGATAGATGGATAGCTGATTGATAGATAGATGGATAGATGATTGACAGATAGATGATGATGGATAGATTGATAGATGATGATAGATGATTGGTAGATAGATAGATTATAGATAGATAAATAGATGCTCAGCATGCTACACAATTAGTTGCAAAGTTCGTGCAAAAACATCAAGCAATACTAAAGGGCCTTTTCTTAGAAAATTAATAAAAAACAAATTTCTTAAAAAAAACTTATCCAACAGTGCAGGAAGGGGTACTTTTCTACAGAACAAATTAAAGCTTGATTATTGTGTTTCAAATAAACAAATCACTTTCAATTACCTAGCTGAATATGGCACTATCATAAGTACACAGAGAGAAACAGAGTGCTCCAGAGACTTCACCAAGATATATAGCACAAGTACAAACCATCTGAGAACTGGCATGGTCCTCCATTAATCCAAGAAACCCATTTTCAAAAGGGAATGCGACTATAGCCAAAAGAATCTTAGGTGAAATACCTTGCAGGTCTTCTATGTGTTTTTGTAACTTTACATGCTGCTGAATTAGATCCTTGGTTCCCTCAGGGTCATTTTTACAGAGTTTTTGAGCTTTTATGTTTGCTTGCAGGGCCCAGTCATATTCCCCCAGCATACAAAGAGCATCACAATAACGATAATGACCCTGTTCCAAAAAGATAAATTTAATTTTTTCTCAAAAAAATATGCTTAGGTTAAAGAAGATAGATAAGGAAAAATAATGTGGTTGAAATGGATTACTTTAGGCCTTTCAATGAAAAATAAAATACTGACATCCCAGAAAATAAAATGGCTAACAAGCTAAATAAAATGTTATAAATAAGCAAATGATTTTTAATAAGTAACCTAAAACCAGTATTTTAAAGTTTTTGAACCCCCAGTAAATAATTTAACTTTTGTTATAGTTTACTATTAAGGAACAAAATAATTATTTTAGCTAAATGAAGAAGAGAAGTCATTAGTTATAAATAAGCAACTTAGTATTTTCAAACTATTTGAACATAGTAAGTCTCTGTCATGACATCCTGCTCTTTAGAAGTTGAAGGTTCCTGGAGCTGGAAGGACCCACCAGCGAGTATGCTGCTTTGCCAACACTTCCAAGAGCACAGCAGAGACAGACCAGTGAGAACTGCGGCTGGGCCGCTTCTTGGCACTGCTTCTCTCTTGGGTCAGCTTTGTTTTATCTCTAAGCACAGTTTCCAGATGTAAGAGGGGTCTGAAAGCCACGGGTTTTATTTACTCTTAATTCCAATGTCAAGGATTTTAGTTGTTACAAAACAAAAAAATGCTTTCTGGCTCCAAACGTTAACTATAAAGAATAGTTATAGTTCTGGCTCCAGAATGCTAACAGAATTAACACTGTCTCTGGGCTACTCGCACACTGAACTCCCATTTCAAGAACTGATCTACTAGAAGATGACTTTACAGCAAACAAGGGTGGAACCTGCAGTATGTCACTCAAACGAAGCAAAGAACCTGATTCACAATACCTGGTCCAGGATCTCCTTATTTACAACTGATCTTACAGAGTCTCCTTATGTACAATTTATCTTTACAAGAATCCAAAAACAAGATATTCCTTTAAAAAAAAAAGCATCAGTTTTCAGATGTCAGTGGCATGTGTGTGCAGCCTCTCTGATGGGTCCTTGGGACCTGTCCGTGAGAGTTCTAAAGACGTTTCAGTCAGACTGGCTTGTCTTAGGTCAAAGACACTGATTCATATGGCACCTCATTAAACACTGCTGGTCCATAAGGGTGGGCGCTCTATTTCTTGACAGCTGAGATCCCGTAGATACACTACAAGGTCAAAATCCCACCTCTAGACATTGACCAACTTGAGTTTAGACAAGCACTTCAAAAGAGTGAAACACGCTAGCACAAGAAATGACAGCCACAACCTGACCCTGCAGAGACCGCCATCATCACTCCCCGCTACCTCCGCTACTCTCACCACTACCGGGAGCAACTCACGATGACCGACAAGGGTTCCCAGATGTTTTGCTGAAGTTGTCTGAATTAAGATTAAAATGACCTCTTTCTTGAAACCAATTACTAAGGTTCTGTTCTGTCTTTAAGCCTTGGTTATCTATGACATTAAGAAGACATCACCCCCAAGGCTTGTCGCTCTCCTACGCCTTCAACTAGAGGCCATTTCTAATCTTCTGTTACAGCAGAACCGACAACAATTCCAGTATTCTACCCAGACAATACAGTGGAGTGAGAGCGCGGCTGTGATCCAGGCAAGCGGCCAATTGCCAGGACACTCTGATGAATCTACAGTAGGCAAGCACCTACCCAATCAGGACTACCTTAGGGTGCCCCTCAGATTAGAAGGCTGCATGTTAAAAGTCTGTAAAATCAAGGAGTCCAGACACTAGTTTATACTTTCAGCTAAGATGGATTAACAAGAGCCAAAATGGAGACTGACCGAAGGAACGGGACTAACAGAACAACTTGAAGGTATAAGGCAGGAGCCTAGAGAGAGAATTACAGACCGTCTTCTTGGGATGTCATAGGGTAGGGAACAATAGATACTCAGAAAAGTTTTGACTCAGAGAGGGAAAAAAAAAGTTTTAATATTCCTAAAAAATTTACAAGAGATCTATGGAAAACTAATATGATCTTGGGTTTTAGTACTGAGAATTCTATCACTCACTTATTTGACAAATATTTATTAAATACTTGCCAAAGGCAAGTTTCAGTGATCAACAAAGATTCTACTTCAAGCAAGAGTGGCTCACTATGGAAATGGCAAGACACTGAGGACACTCTACACAGCTGCACACTTGCTGTGGGGCATGTGCTAGTGTGTGTGTGTGTGTGTGTGTGTGTGTGTGTGTGTGTGTGTGTGTGCGCGCGCGCGCGTGCGCGCGCGCACGCCTCTCACATGCCAGAGCCCACATGAGGAAATGAGTGGTCAACTTTCAGGAGTCAGTTACATCCTTCAACAAGATGAACTCAAGACATCAGGCTTTGCAAGGCAAGTGTCTTCACCTGATGGTCCACCCCAGCTGCCCTAAAACTTCACTTACAATCAGCTATTTTATGATTTAGAGAAATAGAAACTAATATAACATACACAGAGACTGTGCTTTAGCAGGTTATATGTTTCAGATTCTCGTTTATTTAATAAAACTACAGACATAACTACAATCTCCTTGGTAACTTGACAATTTCCTTTCCCTTTCCTACCCAGAAGCAAAGACTATCAAGAATAAGCATTCTCCTATGCTATGCTTCCGTTTTTTTCTTTTCAGCTAACACTGCTTTTAAAAATCCATAAATGTGGGTAAGCCAGTCAAGTTGTTTCCAACACAATTCTTACTTGATAATCTACTCACTGACCCAGAAACAGCACAGGCACCCGCCCCTGTCACTACAGTCAGCTGTGACTGTGTGGCTCTGTGCTCCTGAGGGTCTTCTGTTGGTTTCACTCTAAACTGTCTACTGATGCCCTACACCTTTAATTCTAGTGTCAAGACAGTTCGGTTCTAGAGTGAATCACAGAACCTGTGCCTTAGAATATTAACTAGACACAAGGTCTGTTTTAAAAAAAAATGCCCCATGCTAAAAGGGGAGAAAAGCGGGAAAGAGACTAGGAAATGCCTAGTAGGGTTGGGATTGGCATTCTGATGTGATCAGGAAGCAGCTGACCAGGGGCAGAAAGAAGAATGACCAGCAATAAAAAAAGCTGACCAATGCTGAGGGGAAACATTCAAGACAGAGAAGACACACGGGAAGTGAAAAGGGCCCCACACATTCCAGGGAACGAGAGGAGGTCAAAAGGTGAAGAGAGTGAATCAGAGAAAGAACAGCCAGCCTGAGGCGGAAAGTCAGGGCGGTCAAGTGTGCACATGAGAAAAACCAAAGAAACAACTCTGGCTAAGTGAAAAGTGGCATCGCCTACTGCTTTACCACTAGACAGCAGGGCAAGAACAATGCTGTAAGACAGCTTTCAGCAGAGACCAGTAACTCTGCTACTCAGGAGCAAGGCGGGAAGCTGACAAGGCCAGGGCCTGGACCAGAGCGAGTTCAAGGACAGCCAGGGCAACCAAAGAAGTCCTTGTCCCAAAAATGGAGAAGGAAAGCTGAGTGGGGAGGGAGCTCAGTGGCAGGGTGTCTGTCAGTGTGTGAGCCTCTTACTTCCAATCACCACTACCACAGTCAGCCAGTCACTCACTGTAACCCAGAACCGAAAATACAAACTGCTTCAAAGACTGTACATTTTACCACACACAGATATGCAAAAAAAACCAAACAACCAACCAACCAAACAAACAAACAAACAAAAACCCCTCTACAGTGCATGCACATGAAATAAAAAACTATTAGGGTACGTACACTTGATCAAGTAATTTTCTAAGGTATATTCATATAGAATACAGTAATGATGGAGTGTATACATCCTAGCTCTTCCCAAGTACGTTATAAGCAAGTCACATTCCCACCAGTTTACTGGAGTCCGGTTATTACCCAATGAGTACACCCCTCAGGGCCCTCAGGCTTATGTAAACACCACTTTATCGACAGCAGCCTTATTTGCTGGTAGCTGTGTATGTGGTCTGTGCTCCTTAGGTCCTCTGTTCTGTTCCATTTGGATTTTTCTCTATTTTTATTCCCTACGACTTATTAGAAATAGAGCAAAGTTCCTCATTTTCAAAAAGATGTGTACTTTTATGTTTTTTATGTATGTGTTTGTGAGTCACCTGACTTGGCTGCAGGAAACTGAACTCCATCTGGTCCTTTGCAAGAGTAGCAAGCACTTCTCACCACAGACGTCTCTGTCTCTGCAGTCTTTCGTGTCTACTGGCCATTCCAGATAAGTTTTCTGTGAGAATGCACTCATTTCCCTGTTCACTCTCCAGTCGGGTTTCTTGCTCGTTTTCAGAGCACTCTGCATGTGCAGTATCTAAATGCCACCAGTTATGCATGAGGTCTACTGACAGTGACCAAACCCTCGCCTCTCCCTGCACTCCTACCTTCACAAACTTGTGTGTGACAAAGTTTTCTGCTGTCGATTCTGTGCACTGTGTCACTCAATAAAACGTGGGGCTGGAGGTAAGAGGGAATACTTGTACACTGTGATAAGTGTACCTAAGTAAAAGTAGAATTAAAACCTGGCAGGGGTTTTGGAACACCTTTCTAACCCTGAGGCATAAAGGAGTCTCTCACTCGATCCTCTTTCCCACTCCCCATCTTCCTTCCCTCCCGCCCTCCACGCCGTTGCTCCCTTCCATGAAACCCAGGCTCCTGCCTTGCTAGGCTGCGTTTCCCCACGCAGCGCCTCTCGCAGCCACGCTGTGAACGTAGAGTGAACCATGAACCCGTGTCCTGTCCTGGAGCTCTCTGGGACGTCACCTAGCATTCTCAGGTTCTCACTGTACAATGCAGAAGAAGCCTACCTTTGGCCAGGTGTTCTTCAAAACAATGGCCCTCTTTCCATCGCTAAGTGCATTTCTGAAAAGAACAAGAAACAAAACAGTTTAACATTCCAATCTTTTTCTGCAAAGTACTGTTTGCCATGTATCTATCTGCACGTTGTGAATTTTTAAATATAATCTAACCAGAAATTTTAATCCATACAATAAATGTCCACTGTATAAAGTTAGAAATTGCAGAAAAATAGAACACAGGGGAAAAGTCACCCAATCCCATTACAACTACCCAACGATGAGGTTTAGTATTTCCAGAGCCTTCCTTATGTGTCTCTGCAACACATATGCTTGATATGTGATTCTAATGATTTTCTATACTATTTCTGTCTTTTAACAAAACTGATTCTCAACAAGGTAACTCCCAAGCCTCCCACACAATGTCAGTTAAGTTACAAGGAACAGAGCATAGTCTACAACAGTGGTTCTCAACCTTTGTAATGCTGCGACCCCTATAGTATGGTGACCCCAACCATAAAATTATTTTCGTTGCTACTTTGTAACTATAATTTTCCTGTTATAAATGGAATATAGATGTCTGTATTTTCTGATGGTCTTAGGTGACCCTGTGAAAGGGTCTGTGGGATGCCACTGGTTCTGAGCACACTTTCATCTATGGAAAGGGGAAGGTAACTCTGGTCTGGCTGCTCTGTTGAGGTACACACTAAATTAGAAACAGTCAGATACTAAAAGATGCACACTTTCGTCTGTCTCCTGGCACCTGTGTCTTCAAGGACATCCCCAACAGCTTGTTTCCCAAATCCTCACCACATCCACGTAGAACTCAGCACCTTGCAACCTGGGATTTTCCAGCTTGGTGGCAAGTGCCACCCACTGAACCATTTCACCACCCTTGAAGTAACAGCTTTTGGAGAAAAGCCAGTAGTGGAGGGGCAAGCCACTGAGAGTGGGAACACACTTGCAAGTCTAAGTCTCAGTGACTGGCATGCAGATCACAAAGCATAAAGACGGCCTTCAACTCAGGGAGAGCATGGCAAAAGACCATCAAAGCACTCCACAAGAGAGGACATCCAAATAGGCCGCTAGCATAGGAGAAAACACCCAAGTATCCTTAACCAGCTTAGAGAACTGCAGACTAGCACTAGGCTTACCCCTCTCCACACCTACCACTTCTAAAATGAAAGATACAAATTAAGTGCTGGTGAGGACATGGTCTGAAACGCTTGGCCCTGCAGTGCACTAAATGATATGACCACAGGAAAGCTATGGACTGTGGCAGAACACAAGTATGCCCTCTGTCCTTGACTGTTCACTCTACAGAAACTGATGCCACTCACAGTCCAAATACTAGAAACTTAAATGGCCATCAAAGAATGACACAATGGATAAAATATGGTATATCCATGCAATAGTACTCATTACAAGTGTGTGCAAACAACACGGATGCCCCACCCCCAAAGAAAACACTGATGAGAACCAAACACAGGAAGAGCACAGAGTACATGATCCCATTTACATTGCATAAAAAATGTAACTACCCACCGGGCGGTGGTGGCGCACGCCTTTCATCTCAGCACCCAGGGAGGCAGAGGCAGGCAGGTCTCTGTGAGTTCAAGGCCAGCCTGGTCTACAGAGCCACACAGAGAAACCCTGTCTCAAAACACAAACGAAAAGTAAAACTGCCCAGTGGAAGTCTAGGCAAATGTCTTGGGGAGAGGGGCGGCTGGGCTCTGTTGAGATTTAGATGCTGTTTCACACTGACTGGCTTCCAAGAATTCCGTCTACTCCCTTGGGACACAGGAATGCCCAGGATGTGCACTAAGACCCTTTTCAAAAGGTCACAATAAACCTAGTTTTTCTTCTGCTGGAGAATGCAACAGCAATGTCACAGGAGTCAGCATGCCCAGGGGTGGGGTGGTGGTGGACCGAGTCGTTCAGGCTGCAGATCTAGGTCTTAGAGGCAGTGCTGAGCCATCACACACACTCTTAAAGCCACCTTCTTCTGGAGCCCGGGAATTTCGTTGCTTACCCATTTAAGCCATTCAATCTGTTACCTAGACCTAACCCAGCCTTGCAGGCACCAAGTCTCTTTGCTCAGGCGTTTTGTAGGCGTTGTCCACACCTACTGTGTCCTCACACCTCTCAGCAACCACCTTCTGCTCAAAGCCCTTCCACTGAGAGCTCTCTGGCTACAGAGCGCAGTCCGTATGGCTAAACCCAAATCCCCTCACATGTCCCGGCAGCCAGACACTTGTTCTCTCTCACTTCTTCCCATACAATGGTTTCCTGCCTTTCTGGACACCTCTCAGGGGTCTGCAGGCCAGGTTTCTCCCTTCTCGATAGACACTTGAGGCTCATCTTGGCTCCTCTTTTCTCTTAGGCTGTGCTCTCAGAAAGGACCTGAGGCTGTTTCAGTCTTGCTAACACACTAGTATCACTGGGGAAGTGTCAAAAAGCCCACTCGGCAAGCTTACCGTAGATCAGTTAAACTACCATGTCTGGAGTTCAAAGTTCCAATGATCCCAAATATGCAGGCAAGGGTGCAACCTACTTTCCTACACAATATCAAGTAGTTTCCAACTTCAAGCTTCTTGTCACCTATCCCATACATGTCATCTACTCTTTTTAGTTCCAGACCCTCGTAATTCATCTCTATACAACATTCCAATTTGGGTGCTTCCCAGGCATTTCCACTCAGTATGTGTGTGTGTTCGGTGTGCTTTGTATATTATATACGCACATATATAATCAGATATAAAAATGTGTATATATGTGCTCACATACATTTATAAATACCAAACACTGAACACATACGTATATGGAGTAGAAATTAATATATATACAGTCAGACTCCACCTCCTACAAATTTGTTCCTGTTCCAATGGCCACCCCCCACTGCCAGCGAGTGGCCCAGAATCCAGGAATCTGCTAAGGACACAAACCACATTGTCGTCTCTCAAACCCCAGCACTAAGCCATTACTGTCAACTTCACCTCTGAAGATCTTGGCTCCTTTCTCTTTTCCAGGTCTACTCTCACTACCTTCCCCCAGCCTCAGCCTAGCTGTAGCCCCTTCAAAGTCATTTTCTGTAACCAAAACACACCCTTTTGGGGGAGTCAGACAGGGTTCCTCTGTATTGTTTTGGAGGTTGTCATGGAACTTGCTCTGTAGACCAGGCTGGCCTTGAACTCACAGAGATCCTCCTGCCCTGCCTCCTAATTGCTGGGATTAAAGGCATGTGCCACTAACGCTCGGCTCCCCAGAATATACTTTTAAAGGTACTGACCACGGGCAACAGCCTCAACTCATTTGAAATTCTTTGGCATCTTACCACCCTGTTTAGCGGCTAACAGCCTTTCTATAACCTACAAAGTCTAGACCCTAACCGCCTTCTCTCCCATGAACACAGCACACCACTTCCAACTGCAGACTTCATACTGCTGGCTTACTGCCTAGAACACAGGGACTGTGTCTATTTTTGCCCCATTTCTGGCATCAGCTATAGCTAGAATCCTGGTATGACTCACTGAATCATGGTTGAATGGTATTAATATAGTGGTACCATAGCAGAATGCCACTCTGTTATAACAGCATAAATTATCAGTAATCCATTTGGTGATACATGAACGTTAAATTAAGCTAGATTTCCTAGCATGTAGCCACATCTTATAGCTGGAGCAAAGCAAACAGAGTAGGTTACAGTGCTGCTCACGCAGACCACCGCGGCCAAGTGAGTGGGGCTGAGACTGGGCAAGGAATACAAGTCTGTGACAGTGGGAAGTCCAAGTGCTCCAGCTTATTATAGTTACCACAAAAGCACTGTATCTCCCCAGGCAAAATGCAATCTAACACTTTACATAAAATATTGGGTTTTTTTTCTATTTACTACTCTGGGACCTTAATATAGACAGAACATCAGATTACTTTTTCTTCCAGACTTACAGTTCACAGGCCCTGGCTGCCTGATTTCTGCCTGTGACTATGAATGAATCAGTAACGAACCATTTAACAATCAGACATAAGGTTTCCTGTCTCGATGTCTGCAGCAGTGAGGAAGGTGGTATTTGGTCAGCATTAGCTATGCCCCACACCCATCTGGTAACTGATTCTGGACAGGGCAAGGAAGGAGAGGCTACTTACTGAAGTCCTCAACCACAACATGTGTGCACACAGTGAAGTATAGGACACTTTGATGGCTGTCAAGGAACCTCCCCCTAGTATTATCAATCATTACTTTTAAGGTCAGATTAAAGAAGAAACAATTAACTATTCCCCAAGTAACTTAATGTTACTATTAAGTATAAAACAAAAATCACAGGCTGGAGAGATGGCTCAGAGGTTAAGAGCACCGACTGCTCTTCCAGAGGTCCTGAGTTCAATCCCCAGCAACCACATGGTGGCTCACAGCCATCCATAATGAGATCTGGCGCCCTCTTCTGGGGTGCAGACATACATGGAGGCAGGGTGTTATATTCATAATAAATAAATAAATAAATAAATAAATCTTAAAAAAAAACAAAAAAAAAAAACAAAAATCACTCAGCTACTGTCAAGTATATGACTAACCACCACCAACAGAAGATGTTTAAGATATAAGTTCCTAGACTTTAAAGTCTCTGTGCTCCTTCATCCAACAACAAAATAAGCTTATCAAAAATTTATCCTACAAATACATTAACACCTGAATACTGAATACAAAAGGAGAGTCATTAAAGACCTGCATTTAATTAAGTGAAAATAACCTATATTCTAATAACCTGCCATTATAAGTAATCTATAGACTAATCCAAGTAGCCTAGTCAACCATATATTAATACAACTTGATGGATCACCTGAGTTTCCAGCCAATTAAATGTTGTCCACAAACAAGAACAAGATCGTGATACATACTGACTAATACACAAGCTCTAAGACTCAACATTTAAAAAGCAATTATACAACAACATACAAAGTATTTTTTCCACTCATGATTTTTAAAAGGCTGTGTCTCACTGAATCATCTCAAATTGCCAATACTCTGATATATAAAATGGAAAAATCACTGGTTCAACATGAGCAGTCTAT